TCCAAAATAAAAATTTGAAAGGACAATCGGAGAACTCGGATTAGTGATTCCCATTTATGAAATGTTTTAATCTTGGCTTCATCTAGTGTCCCATTTAGAAAAGCACGATGCAACAAGAAGTGATACATTAAATGTCATTTGTAAATGTTTTGTGAAAAAAATGTGATCCATCTGTTCGTTTTTAACTTTCTAAAAATATGTTTGGCCCGCCAATGACTTGCAACCCTTAATTTTGGCCCGCGAGCGACGGAAGGTTGCCAACTCCTGTTATAGATGTTTGACGGTAAGGATTGCAATGTATTCAAGGTGACGTTTTGTTCGTCATTGTTTAGTGACTTCATTTCAGGTCTTTATTCTGCATTGTAAAAATAACAGGGACAAATACATCCAATTTATACATTCTACTATTTTAGATTCGTGGATTTTTCCTATGAATATATGAGATACTGCCAGTTCGAAAACTGGAAGCATGATAAACTGTCATTGATTTCTGATATTAAAACACATTATTGAAAAACATATGCTTAGATAGGTTGTTCGTTGTTACATTAAAATGTCTGCAAGTGAACAGAATTGTATTTCTTAGTTAGATTTCATGTTGATATTTTACGAATTAGATAAATTGTTAGGATTGGACCCATGTAATACTTATACATTGCATATGGTTCGTATATACTATATACTATGTTGCTGGAGCTGTTGCCACTGTGATTTCCCCAATCTTGAATCAAATCACATGGCGACACTTATATAATATAATGCCAATACTTATCACGAAACAATTACATGCAACAACAGGTTGAATTAACATTCATCATCGCTTGTTCTTGACATCTTGTCACAAGATGTTTGGTGATCAAGAATTACACTGCATTCAAAGGATATGTGGGTATCTCATAGCTAAGCATTATTCAGTGAAATAAAAATGTCTTAAGAACAAAACAATATTAAATAAAACCAATAAAACCAAATAACGGTAACCAATACAATCCCATATTTCAATTGACTTTTTCTGTATATAAGATACAGCAAGTTTCGATAACTGGAATAATATTCTCGTTACATTAATTTTTTGATAATGGGAAAATACTTTTGAAAAATATATTTGTTTATATGTTCAAGTACATTGTTGTTGTTACATTGTAATATCTGTATGTGAACAGGCATGTATTTTGCAATTGTCTTTGAGCAGGTATACTATAGGTTAGGTTAGATATATTGATAAGATTGGTAGTAGAGCTACACCTAGCTTCCACTCGTATAGTCGTATAAGTTACCCATCTTTTAAAACCAAACGTCGAGTCATTTGTCAAATTTGTGAGTGGGATTGATGACCTGATATTTACAGCAAACAACGGCCAACCAGATTCACATATATACGGTAACCTACCAAATATGAGGTTATAAAGCCAAGCGTAGTTGCATATAGCCCTCTGATGTGTAGAGGCAAGCTGGGTTGTTATCTGTTAAATCGTGATGTGTATTTCATGGATTTTAAGTTGTTTATCACGGATTAGCTAGGTAAGATTTAGGTAATTCATATACAGTCTACTCATATGCTTTTGCTGGAATCCAAGTTTACATACACAGCCTATCAAGTTATGTGCAAATTCTCATTTACCGAGTAGAGCTGAACTAGCGTTTTCGTAATATTTACCAAAATGTTGAGGGCTAAGGGTAATATGTGTTTACCGTCCAAATATGCGGTAAATATGTCAAAATTGGACTTTACGGGCTTAAATAATATGACTATGCATTTTTATTATTTCAATTTTTAAGTGTTTCGAGACAACAATTAAAGAAAATGACATCGATAAAATGTCAAGAGTTAACGAGACAATAACAGGTTGAATAAACATGAATTGACGTCAACTATAACAAACTATGGCGCCTTTTGTTTGCATTAATCAATCAACATGCTATACTTACCGTATACGTACCATAAACTGGAGTTTTGCAAATAAAACTTCAAGAGGTGTCACGCGATATTCAGCTTATCGGGTTGACAAACCATATTTTATCTTTCGCGCTAGCTGACAATAGTATCCTTTGTTTGAATAAGATCTTCTACGTACTATGTTGTATTCTGGGACAAAAGTATTTGCAATTCTGCAACATTCTTCAATGGGAAACGCAACCTGTCGTAACTCAAATATTATTTATAAATTTTTGCGTCTGGGGGACGCATTTCTCGATGTTGAGTTGATGAATTTTCCCGGTCATATATATCATTTATAACCAGTGGTGGTATTCAGCCGGTTCCTACCGGTTCTATAGAACCGTCTCACGAAATTTAATGAGGTCAGCGAACCGGTTAGCTCTACTGGTTACTGTCAATGTTCTGTTTGCAACAGGACCGGCTGATAAATATGACTTTTGTGAAGGAACCGGCTGACAAAAAATTTGAATCCCACCACTGCTTATAACACTTTATGAAATCTGGTAACATGAAATGTATATGCAGCCATAAAAATCTGTATAAACAACTCAATCGTACATTCAGACACAGTTAAACCGAATGTACTACCAACTGAACTTAGATATTCAACTAAATCAATGTGTCTGTACATCCAACCCAGGTTATTATGCAAAAACAATAATGCAGCCACATTATGTGCATGGGTTTGGTTATATATTCGTATTGAGTTGGCTGTATATGCTTTTTGATGTATTGTGGCTATACTATACTGTACAGACTCATACATGTAGTCTAGCCTATCACGGAAAGAGCTTAGGGTGCGCTTTTGAGCTGAGCTTAAGCCTCACTTTCAGGACCAAGCGCTTGGTTTAAATTTCGTAGTTACATTAAATGTTTCTATATATTTCGTTATTCCGCGACCCACTTTACGTTCGATATGTATGTTTTTGACATCATTCAGGGTCGGTTATAAATTATCTACTTATTTCATCAGTAAAAAAAATTGCCGAGGGAATATTTGTCGATAATAAATCTGTCCAGTCAATACAGAGTTATAAATTCTACAATTTATCACTTTTATGGCATGTCAGATCAGTCAGGTTTTCAGCTCGAAGTCATTTTTTTTAATTTGGCGGTTGTTAGGAGTTAACGAGACAATACTCACAACAACAGGTTGAATAAACATGAATTGGCGTCAGCGAAAGTGAACGATGGCGCCTTTTGTTTGCATTAATTTTTCAACGTGTTATACTTTATACCATAAACTGAAGTTTTTTGAAAGTCTGTCAACATTTTGCAAATAAATCGTTAAGAGTTTCCTCGAAGCAATATTCATTATCAGGTTGACTAAACATATATTATCGTTAGCGCTAGCGCACAATGGTATCTTTTTTTGAACAAGATTTTCTACAATCTACGTACTACGATCGGCTTTCACACAAATTTTAATTTTCAAAATTTTGTTTCCACGTCGCCTTTCTTAATAATGAACTGCCCTATCGTATCGTGTTCTCGATTGGAGCTGGTAATGTGATATGCAGCCATCCTCCAATTCTGCTGATGCAACACATAAGACATGGATATACAGTCAAACAAAACATAATAAAGTTAAAATAAACATACGTAAAGTTATGTAAGTTTTAATTATTAGTTACATCTCAGAAAGTGTGTACGCTCATTCTTTCTGTCCCAGAGAAACAGCAAAATAATACAATTATATATATGCGATAGGTTTGACCCTAAACCATAATGGACGATTCTGTACTTCACATTCGATGTCACTCTAAAGCAGTTTGATAACTCATGGTTCCAAACAAAAAGGGAATTGTTTAGATCTCGCGTTCTGTCAGCTGTTGGCACAAGTATTCTTTAGTCAAGTTGGTTCTTAATATCACAGTTAACTGCACTTTGTTATTATGTTTCAATCAATACAAATCTGAGTTGTAGCGAGTGAGGCAAACGCCCTAAATATTGTTCTTCGATGAATCAGCTCCACGAAAAGAAATTTTGAAACTGCTTACATTTTCTAAACAAAAATATAAGAATCTACTTTTACGTTGAACATTGCACACATTTTGACCATTTTCTTGGTCGGCGCCTGAACAAAAAAAACATTTTCCAGTCAAATTAATCGGATTGTATTCGCAATATACGACACATGTAATTCACAATATCTTTAAACCTTGATTGTACCGTGTCGTTAACTTTGAGCAGAATCAAATAATAAATATTCATTGAATTGAACGCCCAAGCATTCCCGGCGGCTCTCCAAAATGACATTGAGGTAGCGCGCCATTCAATAATTTTTATGGCAGAAAACAGAAAGATCTTTGGCGCTTTATGCAATTTATTTGCAACAAAACTTATCACGAACGAGTTCGCGAAGGGTAAAAAGAAATTCGAAACGATTATCTAGCAGAGCGGTATTGTTCAGGTTTTTCTGTGAATATTTCATAATAGCTTACATAGGTTTATATAATTTGCAAAAGTAACGATCCTGGAAAACATAGTCAATTGCTGAACGGTGTCTAATTTAGAGATTGTTAGGTCCATTGATGACTCAGAAAACTAGAGGATATTCAAGATTGTGATCAGAATTTCCACACTCAACCTGAGGGATATGAAAGCAATAACACGGCTTAATCATATGGCGATCCATTGACTTCGATCCATGTCGGGTATGAGATTAGTTGGCCAGTTATTTGTTTCCGATACATGGACATCATGGTGGAGAATATGCTTCTGACCAGCGGTTACGTGAACCACTCTACACCGGTGAGGAGTCCAGCAATGAAAAGCGTATTCCTATGCTCAGTACGATGCGCAAATCATCACGACACGCATTATTGGATTTATATCGTATTGGGATAGGTTTTCATCTAACGGACTGATCTTTTATCCATGGTTCCATCACAAATCTTTCTCCCATTGTGGAGGTACAAATTCAAAATTTCTATATAGGATTTCTCCCAATAGAAATGGCTTTGTTTAATGTAGTTCCACCGTACTCATTTATGAGCAAATTTACAAATATTACATTTTATATTGTGTGCAGTTAAAGCTATGATATTAGGATTATTTAATAATATGAAAAAGGATGTTTTCTAAAGAAACCGGTAATTGAACTGGACGAGCATGGCTGCCTTTTCTTCAACTTCCTTGCCAATCCGTGAGTATTTATTGTGAATTCACTGATTTGGGATAGGATAGGATTTACATATTCATCCCCGAGAGGGGGGGTTAGTAAAGTTGATAAGACGGCTTAACTATATGGCGAACCACAGCCTCTCGTCGGTTACCATCCCATGTCGGGTATGGGATTAGTTAGTGATTTGTTTTCGGAAGCATGGATTTGATGGTAACCGCCGTAAGCCGTATCCGACCAGCAGTTACGTGAACCGCCTATACGGCGGCGAGGAGTCCATCAATCCTCTTGCACATAGCCTTCCCCGCATGGGATTCGAACCTGCGAACCCACGCAGAGTAATCAAAGGTGCGGTGACGAGCGTATTCGTAACGCTTAGCACGATGAGCCACACCGCTGCGCCGGTTTAAGTATGTTTGATTTCAATGTTCGGACGAAAATGCATTATCATATATTGAACACAGATTTTTATATGTCAGCTTTAGAAAACAAAGATAAATTCATACGATTGCATCTGTATCTACTACTGGAAGGATTTGATGAGTCAGTAATTGCCAATAATTATGAGAAGTCTGGTATTGTCTGTCAGTTGAAAGACATAAGAAAGGAAATTTATTATGAAAAAAGGTAAAATATTTTTCCATTTGAATTTCTTTTTATCTTCACACTCATATTACAGTACTACAGCTTTCATAGCGCCCTACGCTCAATACAGGAGTGTACATACAAAGCAACACTTCAAAAACATTTACCAAATGGTAGTTTGATTTTTGTAACTCATGAATCTTATGCACATTTGTCAAAATCTTTTACAGAAATCACTTCTACTATGCTACTACGAAAATTCCTGCAGATATTAAAAAACTAAAGTATAGGATTGCAGTACGCTTTACTGAATGTACCCATGAAGTATTATATTGCGGAGATAGGCTTGGGCAAAGGAAACAGAAAATAGAGAAAGGTATTTTGGTGAAGCTATTGAATATGCTATTGCCAGTGAATTGCGATAGTTTTTCTTTCAGGTAACTTCACCTCCGTTTGTTTTGATTGCGGTAACTTTCAGGAATAATAATCTAAATTATTTTCGTACTGGTTTCTTAAAATTTAAGCGATATTTCTGCATGGTTGTTTGCTATTGTTATTTAACGATTCCCAGGCTAATTCAAGTACTTTTAGTTCATTAGTTGAAAAGAAAACTAATTAATACAAAACCCTCGGGCTAGATAAACTGTCTCTACTGGTATTTTTAACGACAATTTATTGAAAGCAAACTCATCTTGTCTAGTTCAAATGCCATCACCTTTTTACCTCAATACTTTTTCAGGATTTGATCAAGTCGCAACGTTTGACGTTATGAACCGGCAGCTACAGGTTCAGTTTCAACACCACAGGAACACTGCTTGGGAAAATATTATAAAAGCTGAGCTACCAAAATTCTTGTTAGATGAGGAAGATCTCTTTCCATGGAAGCAGAAGTTGAGTTCATGGATTTATCAAATGGGCACGGGTTGGACACTGAAGGGCCCCCATACATCAAACGATATTGATGTAAAAATGAATAAAGAAAACATTTCTCAGGTTAGTTGAGGATATTATGGTTATAATAACAGCTATAAAAACGACATCTGTTGCTTTTGGTATAATTTTGATAATGTCAATAACTTAATCTTTCTGTTTTGGTGTTTTTTTATTGCACATGTTCTCTGTTGGTTTTTACAGCATCATTAAAAAAAGCTACTGATGCAGAGCTTCACGTACAAACTGTTAAAATCATTTTAAAAAGAAACAACATATTATAAAACATTGGCAGAAGCTGGTATAAATACTTTTTATTTATTGTTCTAACAGGTATATAGAAATGCGCTAAATAAGGTTAAAGGTATTACACCTTCTGAGAACATTTCTAAAATGATTACATTTGTTGCAATGACTTCTCCTGACTTGAAAATTGAGTATGGTGAATTTGACATCATCTACAAATCCCTGGCCATGCATAACTTGACAGAAACTGAACAAAGAGCTCTTTATGTACAGATCAAGAATGATGCAAAAGAATTTGGGTAAGATGAACATTACACTATTTCTATTGCTTCTTTGCAAGAGCGATAAAAGTAATTTGATTTGATGACAATCTTTTTGGAGATACAATTTTCAGTGGGTACAGTGATCGAGATCCATTGTCAAGTTACTAGCCCAGATGGGATACTAGTTCATTTTTCCATATGCATGGAAAGGTTGAGGGAGCTGTAACTTGATCAGAGGTTACGGGAGTAATAAGGATTGGTCCTCAATATTTTTCATGTTAACCCGCCTGAGCATTTAACCTATTCAATCACAGCTACGTCCTGCGCGAAAAACTATCCCAAGTGTGTGTACATTTTGCCCACCTATCCTCCGAACTAGGCCAACATTAATCGTCCAACTAATTGCGCAAAAGGACCCTCAATTTTAACATAATTTTGATTGTGACCTCATGCAAGCATTTACTTCAAGATATTGGAGTGTTATGTTACGCAATACTGCTATGTAAGCGTGAAGTGTATTCTTATACTTTGAACAATTGCTACTTCTCCACAGATGTGTTAATGAATATTCCCAGACTCTCATGTAGTTGCTTGTACAACATCTAGTTCAGAGTTTGAGTGTGAAAGAATATAGCATATTATAAGTAGTTCAGCCTAATTCAGTGCAAAAGATGGTTGGCAATATTTGCTTGTACATGGCCTATTTTTAGCAACTGTCTCGACGGCCAGCCGATGATTATAATTATTTTATTATACAAAGCAAATGTATGGTTAAACGCTGCATATAGTTAAGAACTTGCTTGTAAAAATTCTATTTTATATCCCCCAATAATTGTCGTTGAGAGCTCAGCAAAACTCATACGTTTTAGATGTTGCTGGTACCTAGTCTGGAATGAAGCAAATGTGTGGGTGAACACTCTTTCACTTTCAGTAGTTTTTCAAACAGAGCCTAGTTCACATATATTCACACTGAACAGTAGTTTTTGAGTGCAATATGGAATAAGAAGCAATAAAACATTCATAATTAATATAATATATAATCAATCATATTTGTTAAATTCTGTTGATTTTTGAGTTCCACTTAGCGCTCAGTTCGCAGCGGAGCCACATTTGGGGGTACTCCCAAAGTATGTGAACCAAGATGGTGGACGCCGGAACGTAGTATGTGTACCAGGTCAGGGTTAGAACATAATTTCAGGTACAAATATTACGGGAGTCACTTGGCTAGTCTCCGAACACATAATAGAAAAAAAATAATGAAAATTGGAATAAAATTATGGCTTAATTAACCTGGTACACATACTTCGTTCCGGTGTCCGCCATCTTGGTGCACATACTTCTGGAGTGCCCATTTGGGAACCGCTGTCTTGGAAATATTTGTGAAAACTTTTCACAACTACATATTGTTGAAATAGTATCTATATTTTTTTTCAGGTCTGACAATGTTATTCACCATTTAAATTCGACATTTTCAAATCAAAGTGAACTTCATAATCAGCCCTTTGCAAAATAGATCTTCTTAATGCAGTTGTTGTATGAAAAGTTGGTCTACCCTTGATATAGATGTATATTTTATTTTACCCATTTGATTACGTGATTCAATTTTCAAGTCTCAAAAGTGAAAATATACCTTTCAATTTAGATATGGCAAGAATCTCAACAATGTAATAAGCAGTCTTTTTGAAAAAATATACGAATCGAATCAACCAGAATGGATTTTGGCTCTGCCATTGTATTGGTTGATAAACAATGAAGAATACCGGAACAAAAGTTCTACATTTAATAACTCTGACTGTGGTGCTGAATTGCCACAAACAATGGGGAATGATTGGGCCACCATATTGAAAAATATGAAAAATGATTATTCCCAGAGGTAACTTGGTCTTGAACTTGAATTTTATATTTGTTATTTTGTATGTGTCTAAATTCTATACGAGGCACTACACAGCCCACGATGTCAATCCTACTATATTTTTTCATAAAGACTAGTGTGAAAGTGTTTTCTATAAACGACATTAGCTTGGAGTAAAACGTTTTTTACTTTCAACTCCTTGTGAAACAACTTCCAAAGATCTTGCTATCAGAATACAAATATCCAAGAGTTTCGAAAGTAATGTGTGGTAGGAAACATGGATAATGATTTAATTTATAAAAAATTTCAATCAAAATATAATATGGATAATGGTTTTATTAAAAAAAAATCCAATAAAATTTTAAGATTCTATAAAAATATATCAGAGAATAAGTATCATTTTTATCCATTTTTTCACACAACAACAGGCGTCTCAAAGATATTTTTGAACAAATTGTCAAGTTGAGCAAACTTCACCCATGGATTGCAAGGCCATATTTTAGTATGATGGAGTGCAAAGGCATGATGACTTTACTAAGTGGACATCAAGATTTACTTTTTGATCCTTGTATCATTGTATCGATTTTATCATCTCATCTGAAAGATGGAAAATTGGTAAGTTTTTATTTTGGTATTAGAATTAGTCTCTGTTATTATTTATAGCATGAAACATTGATTTTCAAATGTGACTAAATGAAAAAATTTATAAAGGAATATTGGGGCATTTTTTAAACTGTAAGAACAATCCAACAATCAAATGGAAATGAATGAATTTCCAGTCAAAATTTGGAAGTGACAACCTAATTGTTTTTGTGCTGGAAGGGTTGGCCTATTAATCTTTTTTCCCAATTTCAACTTCTGCAGCCAACTTCAGCAGATAAAAAATATATATTTTTGTGATTGTTTTATTTTGCTTGCTTTAAGTAGACTGCTGAGCAATATCATAATTGGGCACTCCGTAGTATGTAGACCAAGATGACGATGTGTATTAGGTTAGGATTGGGCCATAATTTTATTTCAATTTTACGCATTTTAGTTCTATTACGAGTTCGAGAACTAGCCAAGTGACTCATGTAGTATTTTTACCTAAAATGGTGGCCTAGCCCTAGCCTGGCACACATACTACAATCCGATGACCACCACCTTGGTTCACATACTATGTAAGTGCCTATAATTAATATGACATAATTTTTTTAAAGGAACTCACCGACATGCGGGCTGTTGATAGATATTTCATTAAATTTGTAAACGATGTTTGTGTAAAGAAGAACAGGTAATTTTAACACAAAAATACTCATATGATGTTGATACAACAGTTTATTCAAATGAATATTTCCTTGTGATAAAAAAAGCATAGGAATGTGCAATTCATTTGAGCTTTGAAATCTGATTTCGAAGTTATTGATTTTCACTACCATTGCAATCTGTGCTAAAATCGCATAAACAAATTTCTTCGGCAGTAGTATAAATTTCCATCTGAAAAAATTTTCAAAACGTTTACAAAAATAATATAATATCAAATTTTCAGAATTGTAAAGTTGCATTGTATGAAACTTAAATTTACAGAATTGGATTAGTCTAACACAGGTTTGTTCTTACTAAGTTGTCGTTAGAGAATGCAGATATCTGGTTCTAACATGAAAAGAAATTATTTCGCTTCATATTTTATAATTGCGATCTATTTGAATGTAAAAATTTGAACATTCTAAAAATATTGGGAATTTCCCCATCATTTGTCAACAATTGAAAGTTTAAAAAACTTCATGTCTACTTTCATACATATTTTAATTATCGGTTTTTCCGTATTTCAGTTTAAGATAAGACCGATTCTGTTTTTTGAGTCATGGAACCGACTAAATAAGGTCATGCCAACTGCATGAAGCTCGTAGTTGAAGTATTGGCTGAACAATATGAAATGATAAATAATCTTTCAATATATATTACATATTCTTCAGAAACAAAGAGCCACAGCTGATTATTTTCATTGTTGAAAATATAGTCGAAGCTGCTTTGGAAAAAGACCTAAATTGGGAAGTTTTAATTTGGACAATGAACTTTTTGTCTAAATGTGTCAATGCTGATTCGGTGAGCAATTTTAAGTTAAACATAATGCTGTGGCATAGATTTAAATAAATATCCATTCAAGACTTGAAATGGACGGCGGATCTCTCACCAAGTTTGGTTGTTAGTTATCTGAATACCAGTACTAACAAGGTAAAAAAAATCAAAAAATTAATGGACATGCCGTCTATACTTTTATTTTACAATTTGCTTATAAAATATTAATATTGGAATATATATGGCGGACTGGCAGCAAGGTTGCAACGGACCAGCACCGGCAATTGAGAACCACTGCTCTAGCGGCTTGAATGACATATCGCGTAAAAAATTGTTGTTTTCATCTTGACACTGCTGGCAAGCTGGTGTGATCCCTCAACATGTCATAAGAGTTTGAAGATCGAATTTTTTATTTAAAGATTCCTCCCCATCCAAGTACATGTAGTGAACCTGAATATCAAACACATACTCATATTTAATTTTATTTAAAAAAGAGGCTGTGTCGGCTTATTTCCCTCCTCTTGTTGTACATATCACAAAACCCTATCGTGTTCAAGAATCAGAATCCAGAATTCCCATGCCATGCCTTCTAACACAGGCGTCGAGATTATGCCAAATAGTTAATTTTTTTCTTTAAGCAAACAATGATCTCTGGTCAATGCCAGCATTTTGAATTTCTTGCTATATTAATTTAACTGTATACATTATACCTCGCCTGTTCGTCAACTCACGGTAAAATAAAATAACTCATAATCCAATATTCTCTTAGCACTGTCACTTAGATTATTTAGACTTTAGAGTGTCCGGTTTAAATGGTTTGGACTCCACTATTTGAGACCTTGTGACTTGTCAACTTTGAGCTACTCTATTAGAACTGACTGTTGCCACTTGAGATTATTTTTGAGATATCGTTGTTTAAAAAAACTCAAGGTCTGCGTTAAAATTCTGAAAAGTGAACCGTACAGTTTGAAATTGCGCAAAGTACCGTATTCAATCAATGGTGATTTACAATGTCTAATAAAAGCATTTTAAATCTGTCGCGGGCATTATAAAACTAAATTAGATGGCGGATTGACTCTTTTAATATCTTTAGCATTTTGTCGCTGATGATTTTAATATAATAACTCCTTTTTGACAACAAACTCACATATCCGCGCAAGCACCCAAAAGTAATTATAGTTGTACTCGTGGAGGAAGTCTTGCATGTGCTTATGGGAATTTGTGATTTAGGGAGTATAAATACCAACGTGAAGGTGTTTATGGCGTGAATAACAGGTCGCGCAGACAAAAACAACCGACTATTTTAATAAAATGCAATCGTTCATGCATTTAGCAACTTTTCCAGTCTTCCAAATATTTCAAAAATGGGATTCTGACTCTCACCTCCTGACTATGCCCCTGATTTAGAATAGAAAAAATAGAGAATTATAACATTTTTTTTGCAAATATAAAAATTTTCCTAATATGAGTGTTTTTCAGGGTTGCCAAATTTTACGAGATGGAACAGAAGGTCAGATGATAAGATTTGCCTCGGCAGTTGAAACATTGATCCAGAAGATCAACATTGATACGACGAATTGTTGGAAAAATTTCTTCATGAATAATATTAATGTATGTCATTTTATAATGGTCAGATTGTAAATGCAAGTTTTCTAAGAGTGATGTGGCTTCCAACATAGAAATAAAAATTAGAAGACTGCTAGTATCTACTGATGTGTAAAGGGTTGTTGGTCGCTTTATCCCTGGGGAAAATATTTTATTATTTATTCCATTTTGAACAAATATCTCAAATGAGGTATGAGATAAATGAATGAGAGGATAGTTGAAGACCCGGTATGCAACACCTATCCGGTTTCCTCTTCTTCTTTCATACCATGTTTCCAAGTCTATGCATCTGAAATAGTTAGAGGCATGATTGTCATTATTTGCTATAACTGACATGGTAACCTGATAAGAGGTTCAGGGTTTCCATATGATTAAATAGCTGTATTTGCTTTCACTTTACATATGGATAAATAAAAAATAATTCGTAAGTCAAATATGCACATACAGGTTGCTCAATGCTCAGATTTCTTTTCAGAACATGACTCAAATTTTCAACTGTAAATGGCAGTCAGAAACTATACAGAAAACCTGGCTGTTTAAGATTACATGGTGCTTAGTGGAAAAAATTAAGGTAATCCAACGCACATTTAGTTCAATTATAGACAGCCTTCGTCATTTAACATTTTATATCAACTTTGAAACTGGAAACAACTCGATCATAAATATTCATGTAACCATTAGTCATATATGGCATCTTCCATATTTTGAATTCAGGCACTGGGGATGCTTAATCGTTTTTACAGGACTCGTGTAGAGCCTTGTCATATATATGATATATTGGTTTATTTTTAAAGTTTGTATGCTTTTAACTGACCTAAAATATTAAATTTTCCAGGAATTCGGATCCATGGCATCCAATTTTCTGGAAGCTTACTCCACTTTACCGGATATTTTAAACAAAGATTTGGAGAAGATCTTTGATGAGGCAGCGTATAATTTTTTCAGAAGCCTCTTCAAAGTAAGCATAGCGCAATAATAAATCTTGTAACAAAATTTTGCAACTGTGGGAAGAAATTTTAATTTTTCTGACATTTGAACGGCTATAAATGCTAGACAGAACAAAAAAAAATCAACAGAATATTCCAAAACTTGTTGTGGCATTTTATTGGACCGAACAACAAAACTAAAGCTGTGCAGTTTTTGCTCCTGCTTACAAATTTTGCAATTGATTGTCACTTACCTATTTAAATGTGAGATATTCATACCAAGTAACATTGTATCCTCATGGGTTTGTGCCCCATCAAGACAAAATCTTAGATGACAGTATTCTTTAATTTCAATTAACAGCATTATACGTATCTATGTAATTCCTCGGGTAATTTGAATTTCCCTGATAACTAAATGGTTAAGCGACCTTGTTTAATAGGAAATTTTTTCCAACCAGATTTTTAAGCTGTCAACATAGCAGACTTTGAAAAAATAAAAAATAAATCATGAAACAAATTTTCGAATTATCGTTGTATTTTGTATTTTAAAAATGCTACAGTGCAATGATCTCTTCGGTTATGGTTGGATAAGTTCTCAATGGGAACTGAAAAACTTGTCAAAGTTTTCAGAAGACTTTTTTCAGGAGGAAAGTAATTCATTCAGACATAAAGATGCAACGAATGATCAAGAAAGGCAATTGGAGTTTGTTCTAAATTGGGAATACTCTGCAAAATTTTATCACGACATTTGTAAGAAGTCAATGATTTCATAAACATTTGACCACTAAATCACATTGATATTACATGCACAAACAGGGTTCTAGTATAAAATTTAGGTTCAGCATTAAAATTGTTATCACAAGACATTTGTGAACCAACTTATGTTTTTATTGTCATATTCGCATTTAGCTCTGCTATTGAGATATCAACTTTTTCTTTATCCATTTATTAATTTATTTACATTTTATTCTAAATTTATTATTATCACATTCGCATTCACTGGTGCTCAGTACATTGTGTATTTGGCTTGTGTGCGAAGATTCATAATCTATATTCTCTACAGTGAACTGACTGACACAGCTCTCAATGTTGTCACTTCTACAATGATTTCTCCAAACTAAATTTTACATTCTCTTATGATGATGCTTCAATTATCTTAATCATGATGTTTCAACTTCTTATTGAAAACTTGTGACCTTTCTTTGATCAATTCTTTTATGATATGAATTATCAGTATTCAATTTCGATTTTTTATAATAATATAGGACCATCTTTGTGCATCTAAATATTCAACTGATAGATGTGCATGAAGTAATATCAAAATTCAGCTTAATTTATTGGTTCTTCTTGCATATTTCATAGCTTTCCGTGAAAGTGAACCAGAAATGAATGATGCAATTTTTTAACTTGACAATACTCTCTGAAAATATGTTATTGCTTTTGAGTAACATTTTGTATTCTATATCAGATGGCAAGCTTGAACTGCAGGAAAATAGTCATATAAAAAAATTCACAGACACATTGAAAAAAAGTGTCCTGGAAGATTTGCAAACCAAACAAATTCCGTTGGGAATGCTGTTCATTCTTTCATCGAAGCCGGATGTGGTTAAGAAACTTGTTTTAGAATCAAAAAGCGATGTAAGTTCGATTACGCATTTATATTTCATAATTTTTATGGTGATATGTTTCTAGTAATTAATCTTAACAGTTACGGAAAGGTATTTAAGGTAATAGATTTTCTCTCTCTCATAAGAAAAAGGCACCTCGACTAAGTCTCAGGGACGCTTTGTCATTACTAATATTAATTGTGGGTTCACAGGTTCAAACCACAGTGTAAATAATTATTCACAGGAGAATTGCCTTTACAGTGCGGTTCATGCACCTGATAGTGGATTATGCTTTCTGTCACCATCCAAGCGTATAAAATTATCAACTGCTTAAATGAAGTCAAGAATGAGGTTTTCCATGTAATTAGGCCATCTTATCTACTTTCCTTTGAATAACCATTAGAAATTCATTGTCATGTACAGATTTAATCAGTTAATAACATTCATTATTATGGATTTTTACAGTCACAAGAATCGAATGAGCAAGCATTGGGAAATTTAGAGAGACTCAGAAAAGATGTAATAAATTTCAGAAATATGGTGAAACGAGCTCAAGAACTGAAGACTTTGTGTTTTATTTGCGAACAAGGTGTCTTTCCTTTCCGAGTTTACAACTAGCTTTCACAGCTAGATTTAATTTCCAAAGTTAGACGGTGCGTGTTATGAATACATTATATAAAGTATAAGTTCGGGACACCGGAACGTAGTATGTGTACCAGGTTAGGGTCAGGCCATAATTTCACTCCAATTTTCCTTCTTTTAGATCTATTACGAGTTCGGAGACTAGCCTAGTGACTCCCGTAGTATTTGGTGCCCACCATCTTGGTTCATTTACTTTGAGAGTACCCTAGCTTATACTTTATATTACTGTATTCATATTACGCACCATCTAACTTTGGGAATTAAATCAAGCTGTGAAAGTGCTTATTACAAATGTAGCAAAAAATATGGTAATACTAGTAATACTCAATGAATACCTTTAGAATTATCCATTCTGTAATAAAACATCACAAAAATATTAAAATTTCCTTTTTTAAACTTTTTTCTGTTTCATTTTTTGAGTGGAACTTCCCAAAGATGTTCTTTGATGTGACATAGATTTTCGTTTTATGTTGGTATTTCTTGATAGCATATAGCAGTATGCAATGATTTAAGTATCTAAACAAGAAAACCAGTTTGAATTTAATATTCAAGAAAACACCAATACAGCAATAAATTCACAGTAATAATTTATAATATTTTCATGAATATGCCAATATATCCTGCGAAGAAGTATTTAGTAATATATATATTCACATTTTTTCAGTGGGTATTGAACTACAAAATCATAAAACGATGACAGATATACCAGAATTGTATCAAATGGTTACTTTGACAGAAATGGAGAAATTCATTCCTCTATCTTATGGTGTTGACTGGGAAGATACCGAGTGGTCTTTAATAGACTACATGGAATCAAAAATGGTAAATTTTAGTCAGCATATCATGACTTTAAAATGATTACCCTTAAATTGATAAAAATTAGCATATTCTACTGCACCTTATAAGCTGGTGTCCCTAATGTATGGATCAGATAGTGCTTTATGTTTTATTGTCTACAGTCAACCAGTACTGACTGCACCTTATGTATAAATAAAAATCCAATCCAAGCATTTTATTTACAGTGCACTTTATAACCTCTGTCCAATATAGTCTGTTAAACCCATTGTCTTGTTACCCATTGTCCTATTCTATTCTAATCCTAAATAATTGAACAATGATTAAAAAAAAAATTTTTTTTGTAGATTTCCTGTAAGCTTTTATCATGTACATACTGACCTGCACAATTAAGTCTGCACAATTAAAAAATTCCGTTCTTTTTGCCAGAAAACAGTTTAATTTGCCAAATTTGTAAGAATCCCCAAGCAACAAACATTATCAAAACAGGCTTTCTTTTTCAAAAAAAAAATTAACGTTGCTTCTTCTGCATTCTATTGCTAATGCTATTTGGGGTTCTAGTTTTGGTGATTTCTGATGGGTCTACAAAGCGAATTTACAATACCTTCATGTTGATTTTGCCATTAGGATAGTAGAGACGCACAGATTCACAGATAAAATTTTATGTCAATGTTGCATTTGAAATTTGCCCTTTTTACACACTATCATCGCATAATTGAATTGTAAACGCCCTTACCAATGGTAGTGTAGGGTTGCCATTCGTCAGTTTTTTTTCTTCAAAATATGTCCGGGATTTTGATGGTCAAATTTGTGCAAGGGAGAAATGTTAAAAAGTGCTTGAACATCAGGGATTTTTGGATACGGTGAATCCCTGCTACATATCCCTGAGATTTCAGATATTGTACATTTACGATAATTGTGCTGTAACATATGATCTTTATTGTCAGCATTTTGTAATCAATACCACATTTCGGTTGCACTACCAGTACCTGTACTTTACTCCGTGCTAGGGTTTAGTACTAGAGATTAGGCTGCAACTTTGTACTATTGAAAATGACAAAGCAAAAATGTACATTTACTGACGATATGAATGTAAAATACCCATGTTTTGGAAAAGCATAAATGAATGATTAGTTTGCAAACCAGGAACATACACCTCGGTTTCTTACAAAGGTCTCGCGGATTCAAAATCACATCCAAGTTATCAAACATTGTAGAGTGGAGCCTTCTCATCTACTAAAATTAAGGTTACCATATCTGGAAAGACAAAATATCCCTGGCAAAATTTTGACGAGCCATTTTGACCAATTTTGCAACCAAAACACTAATACTGTACACTGCAGCGGTCCCCAAACTAGTATGCCGCTGCGCGTTTCAGGTGCGCCGCGAAAATTAACAGAATTGTGTTGAAAAAAAAAACTAAAATATGATTTGGTATTTAAATGCTGTGTAAATGATTCAATAAATCCCTTTAACCTTTCCATGTCGTTTACTTATATGTTACCACTTGCTGCAATTTGTGAGATGCATTTTATTTATCTGCTGAACCGAGTTCGTGGATCAGGCAGAGAGGAGAAAAAAGAATTGACATTTTGCCTTTATTTCTAGGCCAACATGTTTATATTACACAATAATGATATTAGGATTTATTGAATAGCAGCATAAATACAGATTGGGACTGCTGCTGTACAGTACTATAGTATAAATTCACGATGAATTCAAAGACACAAGCTGTCGTCGCTTTTTCTTGAGAATAGAATAAATACAAAACAAAATGAAAGGAGCAAAACTGTTGCTTAACTTCAGCTCTGGTGACTAAACCCTAGCACGAAATAAAGTAAAGGTAATGCAACTAAATACCGGTACCGATAACAAAATGTTGACAATTCAGGTCATCTGTAACTTCACTATTATCTGAATCAGATGCAATCCGTGTTGCACAAAAATGATAGAATGTGACCTATATATATCTCTGAAAAATAGGATTTCATGGATGCGCCATATCTGAAAACTCGAAGATTAGTAGCACGGATTCGCCGTATTTGTAAATTCCTGACATTTAAGCACTTATTAGCATTTCTGCCTGACGCAATTTTACCATTAAAATCCCGGACATGTCAGGTAAAAAATGGCGAATTGCAACCCTACTGAAATTATTTTGTCACAACAGGTTCGGCGGAATAATGATTTGTTATGTTGCTGGAAATATTTAGCTAATCCATTACTAGATATTAAAATGTCTTTCTCGATTTTATTGTGTTAGATGTAACTCGCGACTGCCTCGACCTGCGGAACCATTATTACTGTAAAATATGCGAACGTTAATAATATGGTATACCTGTCTGATTAAAAGCGGTGATTTAAGAATGGGTAAGAAGGTACAACGGGGGCATAAATAAATATTTTAACATCAGTAATTGTGTTATAACTTCCAGCACAGCTATTCATTTAATAAATTTTGGCGATTCAAGATATCCCATTTTTTTTTATCTGTCACGGAATTCTAAAGAATAAGTCATAGGGTTAATATTTTATACCAAGTTTTCAGTTTTGGTAATTACCCTCGTATTTTTTAGTTTCAGTTCAATTTATTATTATCTCAAGCGTCTCGTCACTGATGATCGTGAAATACCGAGCTTTTCACATTGAACGCACAGGTCCGGGCATGAAAAAGAATTTATTGACGACTTTGAGGCACGAAACGTACGTGTCTAAAGATTGCTCATAAAAGAATTTGATCCCACTGGCGGCCGTAGACCTTTTGCAAAATATAATGCATTTTTTTTTTAAAAGAAAATGTCGTAAGTCTGTTTAGTCGCTAAAAAGCTATTCAAAATGAGTTTCAATTAATTCCTCTATGATACACATCTCTGGAATCAAAAACACAAAAATGTTGAAAACATTAATGTCATTTTTGTTCAGTTTTGGGGTGTAACCAATCAGCAAATAATACTTAGAAGCCAGAAAGTAAATGTGTGTCACGCGGTGAATTAGTTTAGATTTGTTTTTATCATTTTATTAATATCAACCTTCATAGAAGGGAAAACATATTATAGATTTAAAATCCTCATCATGTCTGTTATTTGCTTACCAGAAAAATGTCGTGTTTTTACACCGATTAACTGAAATTCCACAAATCTTCTATGACAAGCTTACAAACTTGAGCACAAAAGAAGCATTAAAACTGCTGTCACGGTTTCTTGGCACACTTCATGAATATGCTGAACAAATTGCTCAAGGTATAATAAATTGCGTACATATAGATAGATTTTATTTTGATTAATTCACAAAAAATAAAATAATACACAGAAATAAGGAAGGCGAACTGAAAAAGGATGAAAACCTAAAAATAGGTTTATAGATTTTTAGATTGCATTTTTATTAATAACTGTGGAGGTTCTAAAATAATAATAAAGCATCTGCAAAGTAAATATTTTTATACCCATTTTATTAAAATATATTTGAAAAATATAAAATATATTTTTTGGGAGTTTGCTAAATTCTACATGTGTGTATTACACACTAATTTAGTATAAAACTAAATCTTCTGCAATTGTTAAGTCATTGACAGTAATTGACTGTTCAATATGAAAATTCATTTTTTCCTCAGGTAACATTTCTATTAAAATTCTCCAAACATGGGCGGAGTCATTGAGTGGGCCAGGAAAAACCATGGAAAACGAGGTTGCAAATTTCTACAAAGGTCAGCAAATATGATATTACTTCAAACACTAAAATATTGATTCTTCAGTTAGTATTATGTAAATGCATTGTGTAAATTTCTTGTATTTTAAAAAATACATCATAAATAAATAAAAATTATTCAGATATCATTTCTACAAACCCAATTTTTATTTTTTATTTTATTTTCTATAGATAAACAAAATTATCTGTAATTCATAAATCTATACTGATAAATACAACTATGTAAACTGTATCTAATAAAAATATTTTGTGAATGTAATTGCAAAATAATTATAAAAAATTTAGATTCAATGCAATACAAAGCAGGGCAAGATAGCAATGCACAAGAAGAAATTATCGCAGGTACCAAACCAACTAGTTTAATTAATTTCAGACTAGTGGTTCTCAAACCATGGAATAGTCAGTCTGTTTCACATAAAAGAAGATGTGATTGTAGCCAACGAATTATTTTTTCCTTTGAATAACCAAGGCAAATAGAGCCGCATAAAACCAGTGCAAGAGCCACATGCGGCTTGTAAGCCATGGATTGGCCTGCTCTAGTAGAATATACACTGATACTAGAGAACCTACTAATTGAAAAAAGATTGGATTTTTCTGATTTGACATTGTTTACTCAGCAATTAAAAGATTGAATTGATTCACAAAATGTCATAATTTTTAAATATGATTTTTTCAGTTCATTTTGGTGTGAATTTGAATGCTCTATATTCAATTTATATTCTTGAATCTATTCATCTGGAATGAGTAGTAAACTATTCCCATGCCTGCAGGGGCGCAGCCAGGATTTTTCCAGCAGGGGGAGGTTACGGTGAAATTAAAACAGTGCACCAAAAGTGCAATTCACAACGACGATTTAATAAACTAAAATGTATGGTCGTTCACAGCGAAATTCCACAGTCACGTGTCGCGAGCCTCTCTTTGCCTGCCGGTGTTTGGTGAATATTTTGCAAGTCCTAATTTAAACATCGATCATTAATCCGTAGTTAGTGCGGGCCCGTATTTAGAAATAAAACATTAAAAATCGCGAAAATAAATTTTAAAGAGAACTCTAACTTGCAGATGTCAGCAGGGTGTGTCATATTCGTTTAAAATATATACAAAAACAAGCCCGCATTTAGCGCCGATCAAATGCATGAAATGTAAAACTATTACTTGGAATTTAATGTTAATAAATTTGATTTTTATTGCCATTTAATGGGCTAAATCATATTTTTCCAATCGAATTATTCAAAAATATTATTAACGAACACCGAATAATGAGTATTGTCATTTTAAACAACATTAATTGGGATGTCGGCCGCCGAAACGATGGCCATGATAATAAATATTTTTCTTTGAACTTTACTAGAAGACTGAAAACAACGTAACAATGCGGCGTTTTTTTATATTTTATAATTATGCCATAATCGAAGGCGGCAGTAATTTTTTGGCACCACGTCGTTTTGGCGGCTGGCATCTCAATTAATGTTGGTAAAATATAATTCACTAGTAAATATTGATTCTCACTTAACGGCGGATATCGTAGTTAGGTTTTTATATTTCGGGCAGAATTGCTAGTTCACATCGGCAAAGATGTTAGAGACAACTATTAATGAGTGCATTCACAATACAAATTAATTTTATTCTGATTTTAATCTTCTGTGTAGGATTTGTATCAAAGTTTGTAAATTACGGTCCCAATTTTGAGCGAACAGTATTATCATTACTGACCCCGGGATGCGATATTTGTGAAGCGGACAGTTGACATTTCTGTGCTTTTTTTTTTATGTTGTGTCCATGTTATTTTCGTATTAAATAATAAATAAAAACCCCGCTAATTTGTAATCTCTTGAATACTCTGTGTTGAGTATTCACGTAACTCATATTTGGGTTTAAACACTGATACTAAACACATGAATGAATTGGAGATATTGGTATTTCTACGTGGTTAAAATAATATTTCGCCCCAATATCGCTGAAAATTTCCATAAAATTCAGTATTTGCTATTTACCTGTTTCATCTATCTAATTCGACGTTTCTAAATTTACAAAAACGGTGTTGACGCGCTTTATGCAAAATTGAAAAATATCATAGCCGCAAACAGGAAACAAAATTCTCAAATTTATCGTTTTTACCTATTGGCTATAGCGATTGGTAAATTCTTGATAGTAACTCGTTGTAAATTAATGTTAATAAATTCTATTCTATATTCTTTTCAATGCGCTGTGATTTATAATAAAAGGGATTGAGTCGGTAGCGAGTCGTGAGTTTTATTCGTGACCCACCAAGGCACGAATAAAATGAAATAAATGCTAACATATCAGTGATAAAAATTGATAAAACCGGCCTCAAATTAATCTAATAGTTACTAAACTATTATAATGTACCGTTAGTTGGGAAGTCAAAACTGTGATCGCTCATATTCGAATTGTTAATTTTCGGACGGTATGGTAACTTCTAAAACCCCTAATCTTGGACGCATGTCTGCACCGCTGTTTACCGGTATTTAGCTATTGGCTCTGACATCGTTGATGACATAACAATGCAATTGATCTGTTCATTTCTTGCAACGTCTTGTCTCTTTCGGAAGTGCATCTGCAGACTGTATTAGGGGTTATACAGAACTACATGCTACTTTCCATTTTATTAGTTTCTCGCCTACAATGCCGTTGAAAACAAAATCTTTCAGACTAGAAATAAAAACCTAGAATCTGAAATAACAATGGGGCAGTGTAAAAGTGCCTTAATGTGGTTGAAAGCTGATCGAAAAGTATAACACTATCACAGTGGAATTCTCTCCACACTCTTTGGAACAGTAAAATACTTTGCCGCATCCTCCTAAACGTTTTTGGTAATTAATATGCGTGCTTCCGTACCCTAATTTCATAAAATCGAGTGCTCTAAAATGTCCCTGGTAGAAGTGCTGCATAAGTAAAGCCCAAAATTACACCAACACTTCAGAAGCTTATAAGATTTGTCTCAAAAGTTTCTCATAGATGCAAACTTTATTAAATATCTGTGACCCACTCTCTTCTGTTCCGCTATAAAAATAAAATTGTTGACCCATTCATTGAAAAACGTTCGCCATCCCTGCACTAGGAGATCTCATAAATGAGAATTTTTTTTAATTTAAATCTATAATAATATTTAGAATAGTTATACACAAAAGCATTAACATTTCAATATTGAAACATATTTTGAAAACACTTAAATAACATTTCATAAGTAAAAAAAGGATACTAGCTAATTCTCTGGTTAAATTAGCTGATTAGATAAGGCCAATTATGGCCATTTTGTTATCTATAACTAAATTTTGTTGTAGGTAATGTATTAAATTAGGTTTTATAATAAATACACTACAAATAATGTGATATTTGAAATTTAATTCTGATATGAGAAAAGGAGAATTCATGAATAATTCAGTTACCAAATGGAGTTTAAAATAAACATCATCTTCTACTATTCGAAAATGATATTACCTAGCACTTTGATTGATAACAAATTTTTTTTTTCTTCAAGATATTAGAAAAAAAATACAATGGTATGTTAAGGTGATGGACTGCAAGCCTACTATTGATATTCTGATTTCGCTAAAAGATAAGTTTGATTCAGAAGGACAAGAATTTGACATGTGTTTGAAAATAAGGGTAGGTTTTGTATATTTGCATAATATCGGTTTTACCTTATCTGGTATATAATATGTATTTCATATATAAATTACCGGTAGATAAAATACAAAATTCTGAGTCATTATCTGAGCCTCGTACCTCAATCTCATTACCATGAGGGTCAATGCCAAGGCTCAACTTTGACAAAAGGTCATGTGGAATATTGTTTACCAATATTTGACTAGGCGCCACTTCTGCACGACTCATGCAAGAATACGTTTTGTTTTAATAACTATTTTAAAATTTATTTTTTCTTCCATATGTTGAACTTTTGTTGAGTATTGCTTAGATTACCTTTAACTTATAGATTCATTTTGTTGCAGGAGTTTTTAAAAGACGAAACGTCGCAGTTGAAATCTTTGATTACTATTAGCAGCTTTATTCCAACACTGGATAATATTCTGAATAGATTTAAAAGTAGTAGTGTTGACATGCCAGTAATAGCGGCATCATTTTTGCAAGAAAACGAATTCGTTGAGTGGCTGCAAGAGAAATTAATCGGTATGGTATATGCAAGTCAATTAAAATTGTGTTTGCTATAAAGCCACGCCTTTTCCTATTTGTAGAAAGTTGAAGATACTAAATTTAGAACCTATATACTTATTGTAATTTTTGTGGCAACGTAGTGTTTTTTGCTTTAAATACCTTCTCTTCAACCGCCTAATGTATAACAGTACTCAAGATTTTACCCAAGTCAAAAGTACCATACGAAAAAATTGAAACTAAGGTTTGGTTTATCTGTCAAGAAGAATAAAAAATTCATTCAAATTTCAATCACAAGGCTCACGGAAACAAATGTTTTTTTACAAAGTTATGTCTAAATTTCTTTTAATTTCATTTTAATTAGTGTACAGTAAAAAAAATTGAAGAATACTCATAAAATAATCATACTTCACCTTGAATGATCCACCTTGAGTCAGTGATTAAAATAGTCAGTGACAAAATGCACCATAATTGAACCAAAAAATAGTTTCCAAGTTTTCCTATTATTAAAATTTTTCTTCAGACATAGCAGAACTTGGAGTTCTGGCTGAATTAGCTTTGACATTTGGGATTGATGGTGGAGTTAAAACGGTTTCAAGTTTTGTCAGTGCCGTAAATGGCTTTGAGCCTCTTCTATTCAACATGCATGAATTAACATTTGAAAAATTGCTACGAAAATGTGAGAGATTAATGGATAATGCAACGGCAGATGAAAACCTTGTGAAAAATTGGGTATGTACATTGCTTGACAACCAAACAAAACTTGCTTGCTAGGTAGTTTTCTGTGATAACAAATTCTTCTGCTATTTGATTGGAGTAATACCAATTTAGCATGCCAGAGATAGAATTGCTCCTGGACCCCCCAGTTACCAATGCAAAAAAAAAAAAAAAATTCCAAAGATTTGGCAGAATCAGAATTGTGCTATATCAAGTTTTACATAAATATACATACTTATATTATCATAATATATGATTAATTTGCAAAGGGGGTTATTGAACATCAAAAAATACCTAGTATAAAGTAGTACTAACTATTGTTATCAGCAAAGAATAATTTTGATTTCGCCCTGAATTTAAAATAAATTATGGTTAGATTTGACTAAAAGTTGAATTTTGAATAACTTGAAATGTCCAATAGAATGAAGTTATTACAGGAAAACTATGTTAGAAAAAAAGAATTCATGTCAAAGAAGTGTTATTGTGTATCCGGTGTTATTATCCTGTGTATAAATAATTTCAGCAAATTTCGGCTGCCAATTTGGAGTTTTTTCATGAAATCGAATTCAGTCGTGGATCTATTGAAAAAAGTTCGTTACAAGCTGTTCGAAGTATAAATGAAAAAGGAATTTTCAATATTAGCCTGAAACTAGGTGTCCCAGCAACTTTGGAAAATGTAGTGCATGTATACATTCCTACAGTTGGGACATCTAATGATCAGCGTTCTGGTAAAGATTTAATCATTTGATTTATTTTCTGTTTTGTTTGTGTTTAAGTTAAAATGCAACTGAATCCATTTTAATTTATTTTTGCAATTGAGATTAAAAATTAAAAGGTATAAACAATGTTAAATGAGCATTATTATCGTATATAGACAAAAAAATAGACAATAAACAAAATAGAGTTGTTTCAATTTTTCACAACCACTGAACATTGGTTGAAATTTTCATTTTAATGTGAAGAGGAATAACATTGCTAAATTATTTGACTTGAAATATTCAAACTAGATTTGTGGAAAATAAAATGTACAATATAACATTTAAAAGTCTAAAAGAAATGAATTGGTCACTCTTTTATTTTCTTGGTCAGTTTTATACCTTTGTATCATTAATGGAAAAATCCTAATATTTTCTACCAACTGTGCTTAAATTTAAAAAAAGCATGCAGTTAAATATACAAAATTATTTGAAATGATCCATATTAGAAGCGTTTTTTCTCTTTCCTAAACTATCCTACGCTTCATCACAAACACGCTTATCAAGTCTGTTCACGTTTTGTCAAAGAAATCAATGCTCTGTTAATATTCTGAATCTCCATGATTTAGTCGCGGTTTTCATTGGATGCCTTATGTTATGTTCGCCAGTGTTCACTATCCATGTGAATGTAAAAACAAAATGTTCTAATCTAATTGATCATTTGTATATTCAGCTGAGTTTTTGTGTTTTATGAATTTATCCAAAATATTGAAATATCTTACAGGTTGCATTCATTTTATAGGTTACCGGTCCGCTGGGGTAGAAGGTTATAAACCACTCAATCAATACTGCATAAATGAGATAAGACTTTCCTAATTCAATCTGATGCCAAGAACCCTAACAGTCCAGACTATGTAAAAAATAACTAACTAGTTCAGGGTACTCCAAATTTGCAAGATTGAAGGGCGGCAAGATATTTTGAGGAGGCATTGCGGGTCACAGTGGGGAAAACCCTGAATTGATCAAAATACTGCGAGATTAGTCACTTCAAATATATATTGAATGGGAGTAAATATTTAAAAGAGAGTTTACCGCTGTATTCATCCTGTTGTTACATTGCATCATGGGTGGTGTTTTTAATTTAAGGAAAACATATAAAGCACGAACAAAACAACATAACAATTCATTGCTTTGCTGCTTCAGATCTGCGTGTCATCACTGCTGACAAATGACGCTCCGCCTAAAAATACAGAAGTAATTTTATTGAAATAAAGTCACAAAACGTCTTTTCAGATTAGGAGTTGGCGAGAGTTTACGGTGCGAGGTTGAGATAAAAAGTGCCGTCTACACAAAACTATTCATTCTCGTTGCCACATATCTTTTTTTCGCATGATTATATCTAAAGACAAATTGTGTGTACCAGAGCTGGGACCGCCCTGAACTAGTTGATCACTTCAAATTAATTTTCAAATGATTTCCTGGTATATCCCATTGCATATATAAATTCAGTGTTCATTCAATGTAACAGTTTTATGATCACATTTCCAGGAAGAAGAGATGCATTGGATTTCATCTACTTACGAAACTTACAATCTACATTGACTTTAATGGGAGGACTAGTTGATACTGGAACGCCCGCTCGTTATAGTCATATATTTGGGATTGTTGAAAAGCTGGCAAATACCTTGATACGTCTAGTGGAAGATGGCTTCACACTATTCAACAGCTGCTGCATCAAAATCTTGTAAATATTTACCATTAGTAGCATAGTATTGTAGACTTTTAATAAGATCATTTTTATATCTTTTCATACTTCCCGAGAATCATCTGGTATCATGTAATCATCATAAATTCTGCAAAAAATAATATTAGTTACCCCCTTAATATTTTCTTGATTTACACTTTTTTTCAAAGATTGAAAAACGACAGTTACAATACTCCAACCTGCAATCACCTGCGACTAACGAATAATGTTAAACAAGTCTTTAGAATTGCTTATCATTTCTATGAAATACTGCTGAACCAAATAATTTTTATTAAAAAATCTGAAATTCACTATCTTGTTACATCAATAATTTTTGTTAATCAATAATTCGATTAGAATGTAATATTGCTGAGGAGATGAAAACTTCCAATTTGATTTTTAAAATAGTGATGGTCAAATCTAAGATAAAATTATAAAGTGGATAAAGTTTGATTTAAATTTTATTCAGACCTGGTGAGGAAGAACATATACGAATGAAAATATTTTTCAAAGGGGAAGAAAGAGAATCAGTGCAGCAGCGATTTTCGTTAACTGATGCAGAAGTGGTTGAAAGGGAGCTTGATAAAACTCACATGAAGTAAATTTTACTTTGCAAATTTACAGCAAGTTCTGGGTTTTCCTACAGTGTATGTGTTGAAGTTACTAAATGCATGTCAAAAATGGGCTGTCACTGACCAGCTGTTTTGCTGGATCATAGTATAGCTGGATAGATTTTATTTTGATTCATTTGCAAAAAATAAAAAATACACAGAAAAGAAAAAGGCAAAGAATCTAGAAAGTGATAATAACCTGAAAATAAGTTTATAACTTATTAAACGCATTCACTTCCCGAAGAAGAAAGAAAACAAATTGCAACAAACATTAACAAATAAACAGGAATATAAATGCTTGGTCAATATTCAGGTGTCTAACTTCATAATCCAATGAGTGCAATTACCTCCAGACAAAATAGTGAACTGATTAGAGGCTGTGCGTGTGATGAGTGAGACGGCATGTAAACAAATAATTGAACAAATTATTTCTAAATAATAATTTCCTAACATATGCCGGCGTTTCATGCTTGAAAATTAAAAAAAACTATCGAGCTATTGCCCATGTAAATGGAAGTAAATGAAATACATTGCAGTTTTTATGGGCTAGAACAGGGATTATTTAAGGTTGGAATTGGAAATATCGCCCTTTGGGGGATGAATAAGAAATGGAACCAAAAAAGTGTAGAATCGATCGGTGATGTATAGAATGATTTTAAGGGAAAATGACTATAAAAATACTACTATTTTTTGTTTTGCAGGTGGAAACAGCATGTTAAAGACCTGCGAATGAAATATTACTACCTGAATGAGTACTCAATCAGCCAAATAGTTTATCTTTGCAATCAGTTATCTGACGAGAGTCTCACTGCAGAAACTCATCAAGATCAGGTATGTTAATTTTGATAGTTTGATATGCACTAAGCTGTTCAGTGCTTCTTCAGTACAAGATATCTCAGTACTTAACTGGGAATTCTGCGCACTGTGCTAAATGTTGGAAACATACATGCAGCAAAATTTGTGGGATAAGTGTAAACAAGGCCTTCATAGACTTATAGTCATCATAGTGTTGGATGTTAGTGTTGGTTTTTTAGTTATCAAATGTGTATCTGTTTTTTTTTATTCGATCTGGCTGATGATGAAAGGGTTGGTCTTTAAAATTATTAATTAAATCATTTCATAATAGGAATGTCAAAAAAAACACGCTTTTCCGCGCCAAAAAATGTACGCATCACATCTGCTAGGTCCCGTCAAGCCGTGTCGGAATACCGCTCAAAAAGACGATTACGAAGTGCCTGCTGTAGCTTCGAATTCCATGAAATTTTGACATAACTTAGATAAAATAAATAACTATGATTTGGTATTTGAATTTTTTCATTGGCGCATACATTTTCCAACATTCCGAGCTTTTAAAAAGTACGCTCAAGTTATACGTACTGCAAATTTATGATGTTTTCTATGAGTACCAATAAAATTTATATGAACATGTGTATTTCTTTCCTAACGTGATACTTACTGATTTTTATGAAGTTTGTTTAATCAGAACATCGTAAATTATTGCCCACAACGAACCACTGTCAAACTTATATGCACAACTCCAGCATTGATTTGCGATGATCTTTCGGTGGCCTTAATAACGGCTGCCAAAATAAAATCCTAAAATAGTCCCAATATTCCATAGATGTGACGCATCGGGAAAATTAGTGATTGATATGTGCTTTTTTTTCATATTCGTTAAAGTTCTTATTTAAAAAAGTCAATTTGCATACGTTCACGAAACGATACAAATTAATTCGAAGCACTGTTAGTAGGTCTTAGCACCTGGACATAATTAATTGAAAAGCAGCTAATTTCTTTTAAAAGAATTTGTAAACTTTGTTGCATTAGGTTCTTTCATTCCCAATATCTTTTCGTACCAAATTTTTTCCGATTACCTTCAAAAATGGCCAAGATACATTCTGTTGTTTATCAGTCTGACGTTCTTGCAGTCACAGCTTTTGAGCTGGCGTAATACAATCATTATGTAAAAAAAATTGGCCTATCGCGTGGTACTAAAATGCCGATATCTCCGTTTTTTCTTGACCTTTTGTCACAAATTGTTATTGTTTTCTTATTTTCACTTAGATCTATCCGCTGGCGCAGGTTTTATTTAAATTGGATGAACCTCAATTTTTTTGTAACATACCTACTTATTTATAATCTTTCGTCTGCGAATATTAAGATAGATCTGAAAATTTTCAGAAATGTATGTGTTGCATATAGATCACCGTACACATCATATAAGAACATGGTGATACTTGTGAAATATATAGTTTAATTCATAGTACTATATAGGAAAATTTATTTTAAGTTTTCAAATATTTGTATAGACGGATTATAGTTTATTTGATTTCATAAAAAATATCTTTTATACAACATTGAAAATCGAGATATTTATCACAGGTAAATTCTTTGCTTTCAATTATCTGTCCGGAAATAACGTTTAATGATATCCGAGAACTATTACAAATGACAAAAAAACAGCTGATGGGGACAAAACCAAAAAATAAACAGGAAGAACCAGAAGGTTTGTTCTAGTATAGCAGGGGTGGGCAACCCCCGGCACGCGTGCCAAACTGGGCACGCGAGCCCATTTATTCGGCACGCGAGCGAGGCCTCGAAAACGATATCGTTCTCCTTCAGATAAAAATTTTCAAGATTCTGAATTATCTGAATAAACTTGGTGTTCGTTTATTCATTATCGTTTGTTAACAATCCGTTATTTACTTAAACTCTTTTTGTCCTTTCATGACAAAGTGTCATAGTACTACAAAGAAATATATTATGACGTAACAAATGAGTGAGCTCGAAAAATTTTGTAGAGAAGGACGCAGCATTCATTTGTCTACAATCTACGTTTTTCCGTAATATAGTTCATCTGTACCACTCTTTTTTATTTATTTCTGCTTGATTTATGAAATTGTAAAGCTTGGCGGTGTTGCGCATCGAGCTAAGCGTTAGGAATATGCTCGCCACCGCACCGCTGATTGTCTTGCGTGGGTTCGTATGTTCGAATCCAATGCGTGGATAGTTACGTGCGAGAGGATTGCTGGACTACTCGCCGTCGCAAGGTGGATTTACGGCTTCCTCTACCATCAAGTTCATGCATATGGAAAACAAATAACTGGCTAACTAATCCCATACCCGAATTGGACTGGTAACCGGACGAGACGCCGTGGTTTGGCCTATGATTAAGTCGTCTTATCGGCTTTTTTCTACCCCGGGATAAATATGTAAATCCTATCCTATGTCGGTTAGAGTTACTTGCTAACTTACTGTTATAAACTAATTTCGATGACAATACACGCGGTTAGGAAAGGGAATACAAGAGAGAAGTGCAGAAACGAGCTATTGCGTGATTGGGATGTCATTCCCGAAAGTTCTTCGTGTCTCAAAAACTTTGCAACTGCATTCCTCTCCATGATTTCATCTACATATGCTTGTGAATCTCTGTTCTCAGTTATGGACTTTATTAGGTCTCGTAACAGAAGTAGCCCGAAACATGAAACCTGTTGTTCGTGTATTTGTTTAAAGCAGGGGTCACCAAACTTTTTTGACCGCGGGCCAGGTATGACTCAAACTGTGTTGAAACGGGCCGGAAAAATATTTTTTTGAGTGCACAGGGTCCTCAGAAAACTTCTAAGTTTAAACTCTATATCGCAGAATATAGATCAAGAACGTCATAGCAAAACAAATCTACAACATGTTTAACAACTATCTCGAGGTTATCTGTTAACATAAAAATTGCTGTCATGAATATCCGCATGTAAACAGTACAAAAAATAATGTGACTTGTTCTATTAGCGCAAAATGCACGTTCGACGTTTATTTTAGCTCGAGAAACGTACACGGCAACAGTTTCGCCGAAAGCACGCGCCACGAGTGTACGGTACGAGTGCATCCTTCACAGAAACGCTGCGTTCCGGTATAGAATTTTAGCCTATTTTATCACAGCTATCTCTAGACAATTTTTGATTACTGCGATTAAACTACAACTCCTAAGAAGAAAAAATGAACCTCCAGAAGTATGTGCACCAAGATGGCGCACATACTTCGGGAGCGCTGAAAAAATAATGATTAACTTATTTGATTCATACCTAAATTTCTCAATCGCGACCAAAAACTTTGGTCGGCACGCGGAAGAACTTTGTCGTTAAATTTACCTGATTTTGGCACGCGAGCCGAAAAAGGTTGCCCACCCCTGTAGTATAGGAATATTTTCTGAGCATGCAATTAGTGACTGGCCTGATTTTCTGTATATATATATATATATATTATATTTTCATGCAAATCTTGTGTTAGATTTTTCCTATTACATTACACCTATGAGATGTGAATAAAAATAATTTTTCTCTTTGGATATTCTACTATTCTCAATTATCTTGAATAAATTTTATGCTACAGAATGTGATGATGAAATGCAAAATATGAAAGATGGTGTAGAGAAAGTGAAGGCAGCAATGAAAAGAAAAACAAAACAAAAACAAACCGAAAGACTAGCCAAAGCTGCTGTAATGGAAAAGGGGTGGTCAGATATAAAACAATGCAAGACCTGGATAATGAAGAATGAATCAGACCAAACCTTGATTAAAGAATTGTCCACACAGTTTGACAGAAAGATAGGTGAGATATGCTCATAGGATTACTAAAATGACAAAACCATATTATATTATTTACTTTCTAGTTCAAGCAATTTCAGATGATGGTATATAGATACGTAAAAATGCAGAATATGAATTACTTTCCATTGCCGATATTGTGTATTTAAGCATGTTCAAATAGATTTAAATAGATGAACTCAATAAGTGCTGCGCTAGTGAGCATGTTTCTATTGCTCACCTAATTCCCGCTTTACTGATCATTTAATGACTATTATAGCAACAGGAATGAGGCCAATAAGAAATAAACTTCCACTTCCATTCTCAGCAGAATTATATTCAAACATTTTACAACCTGTTTTTCATGATTTAGCATGATTCAATAGCATGTAATATTTAACGCTACAACTGTTACAATTGTACCAACTGCCAGCTTATGCTGTGCTAATTCTCTGCCTACATCTTTTTCAGTTGATTTGAAAAATTCAAAAATGAGTGCAATAACAGAAGCATCAGTATATTCAGAAATTCCAAGCACACATGGGACTATTTTGAAATATCTGAATGAGAAATGCATGTTTTTTACTGCCGACTCCGCAGTATGTATCAAATTTGTTTATTATTTATACCAATACATTTTTTCAGTTCTTAATTTTGATATATAAACGTAACCATCACAGCATATGCTTTCCAATTAATAATTTAGCCTTGACACTCATTCTTAGATGTTATTGCATGCTTGCTTCTCTTGATAAATAGGAACTTACGATCTCACTCAGTTATCTTAATTTTATTCTGTAATGAAAGGGCTTTTAATCAGGATTAATTCAATTCATAGAGGATTTGACCTAATTTGGGGATAAATCGGAGTGGGGGAGGGGTACAAGGTAAATTTTGTACTTCAAATTTGCCTGGAGATGAAACAGAAAATAAAGTATGATTAGATTTGCTTATAAAGTTTAATAATATTTTATGGTTGTGTCAAAATATATTCGCCTCTTCGATCGAAAATTAGTGTCATTCGCTCCGATGTATAAATCCATGGGTAGAAATATGATAGGGTGTTAGGAATTTCTACTTAAGTATATATTGTTGAAATGCTATTCTTCTTATGAACAATTTGTTATCTATTCAACTTATAGCCAAATTTCTTTTTATTTAAGTCTAAAACTATGAGTGTTCAGAATATTTATATAGTAATTATTTGTTATAATCAAAAATCAAGAATGGTAAATTGTGATTCATATTTCCAGAGAGGAAAAATGACAATGAAATTTCACTTTTTATTATTTTATTTTTCAACTATTCACTCTCTAACTTAGCTATAAACCAAAAATGTTTCAATTAGATGCACGACCATCTTGATAAAATAATTCTGTAACTTAGCTTCATCATTGTGAAAAGACTATTTACAATATATCAAATATACAACACACCTTACGCATGCCTTCTTTCTATTGACCTCACTTAGTATGTTACATACTTTTTTTGATTTCCTATTCATGGGTTTAATTAGATTTTTGTCTTGCAGGTGTCAGACCGGAAAGATTTTATAAGCATGGCCCACCTTGGTGAATTTCTCACCCAGTTACGCCATAGAAATAAAATCAAAAAATTGAAGCGTATACTTCCTTGGCCTCTGCGGGAAGGCCTGCCAAATTTGGTTACTTGCTCAGACCAAGACATGCTTCTAAGAGTTCTTTCACTTTACATGGAGGATTTGGATCAGCCTTTGCCTACAGCATCCGAAGTTTTGATCTGCACTGAAAAAACTACAGAAGATGATGTTGAACGTTTTTTTTGCAGAGCAATGGGTGAAAGTGAAAACAGTGGTACTTTTTTAAAATTGAAATATTCATAAGATCGTATATACATTTCCAATATTACCATAATGTAATTAGGGCTTGGAATTTCCGGGAAAATACTTTAACCGTTAACCGGGTAAAATTAACCGGTTAACCGCGGCGTGACGTTTGACGTAATGATTTACAATTTTAGTTTGTTACGTCACAATGATTGCAAAGCAATTTAACGTGAATCCCATCTCCAAGTCGCAGGGGCGTAGCAAGAACTTTTCAAAGAGTGGTTCTGAAATTTCTATTTGCCACGCCGGAACTCCGGAAACGTATGTTTCTCATGAGTCTTGAGGGTCTTAAAAGCGTTCCAAGTTACGAAAAATTGCTATGTATGATACAGAAAGATGCTTTTATTTTTTTACATGTTAAAAGGGGGGATATTGCAACCCCCAGAACCACCCCCTGGCCACGCCCCTGCAGTGTCTCTCTATATTATTCACGAATCGAGATAGATTCATGACCGCTCTATTGCAAGGGATATGCAGGCTTTGAACATATGGAAGTATTTTAGTGAAACCCGTTTCCATTATCCAATGTCATTTATCTTATCAAATTTTCCGTGCTCGATGTGCTAATTTTACTTTGAAGTATCATAAAGAATAACTGCATCAACTGCGCACGTGTTGGATGACATTGAATATACGATTTTGCAATAAAATATATAAACAATATATTTTGGATTTATCCTTGTCAACGTTTCATTATCAGCAATCTTGGTACGTCAATTATTTTTCACGTTTATTGGGTCCTTACCAATACAGGTATTGATATTCTTTTGAATTAAACGCCACAGGGGATAAATTTGCGATGACGTAATCATTTTTGAAATAAATTGTTCGGTTAACCGATTAACCATTTCCAGCCCTAAATGTAATACATATTTAGGCTCGCTCTTGTTCTGTATGGCATATCTGGATAGACTGACGGATTTGGTAATGAAGGCTGTAGAGAATATTTATGAAGATCTGAAAAAATCTGACAACAAGAATTATCAGCTTGTTGTCTTGAGCAATGATTCAAACAACTACCTTGCTAATAGTTTTAAAGAAGTAAGTTATTTTGATTCATAGACCATATTAATGGATCAGATGTAGAAACCAAACCAAAATTATTTCAAAACTCAGTCATTGAATCATTAAGGTGTAAGCATCGATTTGTGAAAACTAAAATTTGTCTTAATTAGAACACCCCTTTTTTGCCAATATTGATTCCATCTACTTTGTCTTTATATTTTCATTTTTTGGTGAAAATTCCTACGAATGGATTTAGGCCCATTGAAAAAATGAACAAAAGTTTGAGAAGGCGTGGAATTTTAATCCACCTTTTTTCTAACAAATAATTTGTCTTTTAATCTCACCTTGTGTCAGTGCTAAATACACCAAACTATAATTTTCCTTGTACCCCATCATTATCAGTCGCCTTGGAAATTTTGTGCAACTGAAAATATAAATTAACTTCACTCATTAGCTTTCATTTTTTCAGACATCATACAATTACTAAATATATGATTAGCTCTATTTCCACAAATTTATTTTGTGGAATCCTATCTTTCACTGGTTGATGTCTCTTGTTTTTTGGTAACTAAATAGTCTATTTACTCCTTCGCATAAATATATCCATTTGTCCCTATCCACTGCATTTTACAAAGTAAATTAACAAAATAGTTCACGAACTATATAATAGTAAATATTTAGGATTTATATTGCCTCTTAAAAATCATCTTCAGATTGGCCCCAGGAAGTCTTTTTGTCTCATTAATATTGTTTGTTGATGTATTACAGTGGTCGACAAACTTTATGTACTCGCAGGCCAAATATATACATTTCCGCTGGCGTGCGGGCCGTATTAATTTCCGCCTGCGAACAAATTCCACATTTAACTTCAAATTATGGCATCTTCTATTCTGTGCCACAGTGAGGCGTGTATGTTGCGCTTTTTAATATATATATTATCAAACAATATAGTAGCAGTACGTCATCCGAATGACGTTTTGACAAGCGAGTATGAAATGTTCAACATTGAATCTCTCAATAACTGCGATGCTGACTTGCAAACTGGTTCTGAAATTCGCAAAAATAATATTTCCGTCCAAGCACTGCTCTCATCTCAAATTTCTCTGCGTTACCGGGCTTTTTATATTTTCTAATATTCAATTCAGATAAACTCAACCTATAATTACAACCAACATCAAGTAAACGACATAGCCTACAACTGACGCTTACTACAAAAAAGCGCTTCACAGAAGCACTTGTTAACACTTACATCCGTGTGGGGACGATAATAAATTTATATTCAAATTTTTGTTTTATGCATTAAAAGTCGGGACGATAGAGGACCACAAAAAATTAGTTTGCAGGCCGCAGTTTGTCGACCCCTGATCTACCAAATGAGAAAATAAAGTTTACGCTTGTGATACAAAATTTCTTTAATTTTTTTTCAAGAATTTTATTTTTGCGGTAATCTTTTCAAAAATACTATATACAAAAAGTACCTAATTCTATCACTGTCTGATGGTATCATAATGGTAACAACACACTCACATATAGCTTTTAGTGTAGTGATTGCTCGCAACTAATGTACTAGGAAGCTGTTCACTGTGGGATTGACAATTTGACTTTTAATTTTTTCTAAATCACTCTTGACAGTTCCAAGTTGCTGATAATTTTGTCAAAGACCAAGAAGTAGTATCATGTTATGTTCAAAAGCATTTGATTGTCGGTAACGAGTTCAACAAAAGTATTGCTGGAGTCGATAAATTCAGAAGTTCTGTCAGATTTGTGGTGTCTAGTACTGTTGGTGCAGGCAAGTAGTCTAAATTCATGATATTTCTTTGTATGTTTATATTTCATATCAATGTGACAATGTGGCAAAAATTAGCAGTGATATTAGTGATTAACTTGACATAGTAAAACAAGAAATTTTCTTTATTTGACCTCACAGACTTTGGCTTTGTGGCCCTAAAAAATTTTCTTTGATTTGTATGTAAAAAATCTATTTTCTGTTGTGAAGATGTGCTATGGCTGTTGGAGACATTGTTAATTAATTTTGGCAATCTGTCAAGTTTACTCGATAGAGCAGGGTGGTCCAAGGTTAGAGATTGGACGGTTAAATCCACGTTTAGAGACGGGATTGGAGGGCCTTAAACACTATTGAGGACGTCTCGCGGGCCGCAGTGGGAGAAAACCCAAATTAAAATACTGCGAGTTCACTTAGTTTATATTATATATTGAAGAATCAGAGTTTACAGTTCTAATTAGCTTATTGTTATGTTGCATTGGTGGATTTTTTCATTTGAGGTGGATACATAAAGCCTTTATGTACCGTTTAGTTATTTTAAAATTGCTATAGGAGAAGTACTGTTATATATTTCATATCTTTTCTCGTGTTTGGTCTTGTGACGTCGCTGCAAATTATATTCTTTTGGGACATATATTACTTGAAAGCACAACAGACTTTTTGGTTCACCATTGTTGTGGGCAAGGAAATACACTTCCTTCCTGTTTTTCTCTGTCCTCTTTCTTTCGATACTCATTTTATGATAAATTGTTATACTTGACTGATGTTATAATTTTATAATTATATTTGCAGCTTGAGCAAGCCTAGTGGTATTGTCAATGAATGACCAAGTCCATCCAGACAGTGCTGTCATATGGCCCACGCTTAAACTTATTACTAAAATTTAAGCACAAAATTGCACAGAGTTGCTTGACGCAAGCTTGAGGTGCAAAGTTGAGATGAAATTTGTGACTCATCTCATCGGCCGGGTTCTGTCTGTACAAGAAAATTCATTTTCCTTGTCCATTACGTCATTGCTATGTTGACACCATCTTGGCGTTTACAGATACAACCTTAAAATGCCGTAATAAATATCTGCCAATGGTTTAGTATACGCTAAATATGTTCTGCGGTCTGCACAGAACGTGCCAGTGTTTGGACTATCTCGCGATAGAGCATAGGATCGATCAACCAAGATACTCTTGATTGAAAGGTTAACCATTCCTACTTATTCAAATGTATAAAAATGTTGATAACCATTTCCGCAACCCTGGTGGCCATGATTGAATTGTTATCATTAACCAATATTATTTAGCTATGTAAAATACAGACTTTTTATTATTACATAATTTAGACTGAAAAGCAAATTAATTTTAGAAAATAATTTTATTTTCTCTAAATTGAATAAGGTACCAAATGTTTTTTGTCTTTGTTACTTCTTTTAAGCAAGTGTGTAGTCAACAGAATAACGAATTATATACTTTTAATATACAAATTTTAATGCTATTCCACCATAGTCCCAGTTTCGGATCCAAAGCATAGGCTTTTCTCTAATAGTTTTTAATTTTTATATTTAAATAGGGAAGAGCCTGCATATATCAAGGAAACAAGAAGAAGCAAAAAAGGCCTTCAAAGAAAAGCCACGCATAGCAACCTTGAGATTCCTTGAAAAAGAAGTGAAACCCGATATGGCAATAAGGAAGCTTCTACCTAAGCAATTCAGAGGGTCGTATAAAGATCAAATCTTTGTGCATATAGATATAACTAATGCTGTGAGTGAATAATCAAGTTTTATTTTCATCTAAAATAGGTTGGAAATTTTCTGATTATTTGAGTAGTATTAGCTCACTCTAATAAACAGTATTTCAGTTCTTGTATCGAGACTGGCAAAATCTCTCTCTTTTCTTAATGGAACAATTAGTCAACATTGGATATTGGTATTCTTTTATGCAAACCATCGGATACCATCTACGGTAGTTGTTGAGCCGCAATATATTTGGTTCTCCTCGGTATCGGCTAAATGTAAACCAATATTCCCGATATATTTTATAGTTTAAAAAAATAGGTTAAGTGCTGAACTATGAACTCATCGGGAACTATAAGTCATGCATGTCCCCACCATTGCGAGCAATATCAGGAATCGGATTCTGACCTGTTTTAGCTATTTATCAACCAGATTAGCTCAACTAATCTGGCTATATTCGCTGACAAATTTATATTTGATATTACTCTGAAACTTTAAAGATATATATCAATCGAGTATCAGTGGATTTTTTAATGTGTAGAATAAAAAATACAGCGTTGTATTGGCACAACCAGTGTTAATGTTCAATTTTCCAATTTCCTACTATAAAATACATACCTCCTCTATTTCAGCAAATATACCCAATGTCAATCAATCAATGTTTTTAATTATTCTAATTTATGAAACATAACACAATACCTTTAATCTACAGGTTAAAAACGGCATAGAAGAATTCATGTTCAACTTGTTTGTCCTTGGTCGAATTGTGGACAAGTCAGGAAAAGTATGGATCAAGCATCCCAATCAATATTACATGATTGAAATAACGGATCAAGATCTTGTCTCTTCAAAGGTACGAAAGCTATCAATGCCTAATCCAGGGTGGTTCAAACCCAGGCCCGCGGGCTACATGTGGTCCGCTGCTTTATTATCTGTGGCCCGCGTCACAGACGGAGAGTAACCAAAAAATTGCATTTCGTGTTGTTTCGTAACAAAATTAATCAGAAAAATCTTTTGACATATTGCTACATCAATAATGTCACTGAATTGACTAGTGTTATGGCTAGCTGAGGCAACTAGCGAAGTTGAATGATGTGCTTGGCTGTCTGAATTATTATCTGGCTTTCTATCTTTTTGGTCGGGAAAATATACTAACAATATAGGCATCATAGAAAACTAAAAATCGAATGCGGATTCTATTAGCTTGGGATGGCTATGTCTGATAACTATGTGTTTGCACAATAAAAGATTTGTTTCGTATTGCACGGTTTACCTATTCTTGGCACTATTGTGGCCCGCGAACAATGCAAAAATAATTTTGTGGCCCGCGAAGCCGACAACCTTGGACCTCCTTGGGCCCTAATCATTTTAGTGAACTAAATTTCCAGCTTCAGACTCGAACAGATTGCCAAAGATAGAAACATTTTAAGGTTTAATCAGGTCTTCATTTTTTTGCACTCAAGCAACCCTTGACTCAAGTTTTGGTAAATCAGGCCAGGAATTTCAAAAAGGGGCGGGTTTCAAAATCGGAAATTCCCATTACGGTATGTAACAGTTGTCATGATTACGAGCTTTTAAAAGAGCCGCCTTTTTCAACGTACAATGATTTTTCTGTCGCGTAAAATATTCAAATCATCACGACGAGATTTTAAAATGTTCTAAAATGTGTGGTAAAATGTCTGATTATGTCTTGTTTCGAACTGCGTTTTTGCTATTTTGCGAATTCGACAAATCTGAGCTGTATTTGCAGCACTGACTCCGCTCAATCGCAATGCTGCCACTTAAATTATTTTGAGTAAAGATTAAAATGCTTTAGATAAATTATCTTGTATATCATCACAACCCGGGAAAAGTCGTGTTTTCAACATGCACAATTTCACCACAAAAATTTTCAAATGCAATTCAAAGTAAAGGATAAATCTTATTGACCGTGTTTTGATTTAGATGGTTCTAAACGCCGACAATAATATTGTGTAAATTTTGCAATTTTCAATGCCCAGAAAAGCGTTTTTAGACTGTCGCGTGCCTCAACAAAACTTATATTGTTTACGGTTTTATTTTCAGTTTTTTATAATGATGCTTTTCAATAAAAAAATTGCGCGGATTCACTCCTCCATTTGTCTTTAGAATCTCGCCTCCGATCAACGTATAATACCTCTCATCGAATTCACAATTTTGTGGAGTACATAATAAAATAATTATCATCATTACCGTGGCACAAATTTGCGGAAAATTTGTGATTTAGAGAGAATAACACCAACGTAACGGTTTTACGGCCTAATTAACAATTATGAAAACAATCGATGATTTTAGCAAAATGCAATTGCACGCGTTATTGGCGACTTTTTCAGTTTTTCAAAAATTTTAAAAGGAGGGGGTTTCGACCCTGTAAACCCCCTGGTTGCGCTACTTCAGTAAATAGAACATTTTTTTATTCCGCTTCGGAATATATTTGTTTATCGATATCTAGCTACCAGTATCTCTTTTGGGTTGGGTCCAGAATATATTTATTATTTTTGGTTATTGCTGTTTCAGTAATTTTCAAAACATGTTTTATCCTTAGGTCTTGGCATTTGTCCTTGACAAATCTCAATACATGCAGTCACTTAGAGACACATAGAGCTACTGAGTTTAAAAGGATTGGAATTTTTGTTTTGACCTATTCAATTCCTTACACCAGTGATTTTCAACCTTTTTTGTACCGTGGAACAGTTTTTTTAAACTAAAGTTGTGGCGGAACACCAAATGGGATTTTTGGAAATAACCCATATTATGCAATTAACTGACATTTTGGCATGAAAATAAAATAACGCTATTAATACTATATGAAGTTTGTCAACTTTAGCTGGAAAAAACGTGAAACCTTCCAATTCAGAGCTACAAGAGCTAAAGTACGATGAAATATTTTTTTTTGCGAGTTTGCTTCCGCATACGATGATGAGCTAAAAACAGAAATGGTATTTTAATGGGATATCTGGGCCTGTTTCGATGAGTTTCAAATGTTTTATTCTGGCTGGAATTGAAGAGAAACAAACAATTTCTCACGCTTTTTGACTCAAAAAATAGAATGCTCAAAAATCTGATTTCGCAAAGATTGGTCGTGGAAAATGGTAGCAAGATAGAAACCGTTTTTTGCAAGAATTGGAAATTTGTTCATTTTAGAAATACATCAGAGAATTTTTATCTTTACCCGTGGTCGAGTATAATTTGTAAAAATTCATCGGCTGATTAAATTTCAGTTATGTCGTCATTATACTTTAAATAAACAATTTTTTAGGGAACCCCTGGAGGTATCTCGCGGAGCACCAGTGTTCTGCAGAACACCGGTTGAAAATCACAGCCTTACTCTATGGAGGAAGCAGTGAATTGGCATAGAATAGCAGATTTGCTAGCCATGATCACTGCAACAAAGAAAATGTTCGTAAACTGTATACATCTAATGCTATATCAAAGCTGTAATTATGGATAAAACACGTTTTTTCCAAATTCTGGCTTTAATTAAACTTAGCAATAACTGAAAATTATGTCTAACTCGTCAACACATTCATTTGGAGATAAGCCATGTTTAAGCAAATATTGAAAAGTGTGATAGCATTTACCCTCAAGTTCCTCTATATTGGGCTTTGTATTAACATTTACTTGAGGAGGAGTGTTCACTCACACATTCTATCTGAACAGCAAATGACAAAGGAGCTATATTCATATTTCTCAATACCGTAAAAAATATGCTCATACATTCTATCTAAACACTAAATGACAAAGGAGCTATAATCATTTTTCTTGATGTATAATTCTTGTTCGTCGAGATTGTCAATGTTTGATTTATTGGTGTATACAATAATCGGTATGTGTTGACCATTTAACATATGCAGCTATGGACCTTTCCTCGAGCATCGACTTCCTTGTTTACTTCCTGACATTGGCCAATCAGCAAGATGCAAAAAGTGACGTAACAATGCTCCCTTTTCGCATCCGCTCATACACTTTTCTCACTCAGACAGATTTTCAAGCGTGGTCGTAAACATTACCTCGTTTTCGCGTTTTTGAACTCTATTCGTTAAGTTTCCGAAACTAAGTGCAAATCAAACAATTCAATGAGCACTTTGTCTTCCTAGAGGTTTTAAATCAATTGCAGTAATAAAAATTAGTGTAGAAATAGCTGTGGTAGACTAGGCTAAAATTCTTTACCGGTATTTCTAAAAAACAGATTGTTGTATGCGATGAATCAAAATGATGGTTTTGAACACATACCCCATTTTACAGGCGTCAACTCGAAAAAGCACTTTTAAGTTAGCCCTGAAAATTTTGCAATGGTAAAGTATAGGTAGAATTGTCGGGGGTCAAAGGTCGGGGAAAGGTCCATAGCTAAGCCTTGGCGTTATGGCTCATTGTGCTTAGCATTCCGAATATTTCATTTCATTTATATCTTGCACTGACTGTAGCTATAACAGATGTTTCTCAGCTATAGTTAATTTTGAGATGCTCAATTGTTTTCAGAAATTGACCAGCAATCTTTATCCAAACCATATGTCACAAAACTATAAACAAAAGATGAATATCAGTTTATATAAAATCATTATATTAGCTTTTCCGTACTGTTGTCATTTCAGTATTCAAAGATTTCAATGCTCAATCTATTTCCTAACATCGTGGCACTTCAGCCTAAGGAAGTCATTAGTGGAAAGTTTGAGGATAACACAACTGCTATGGATTCTGAAATGTTCGTGTCACCTCTTTTTCAACGGCCCTATCAGTACTTGAAACTCTACAGAGAATATATAGCAACACCAAAAAAAAGAGAAAAGTCACTTAATGAATTCACTTATTCTGAAATCAAGAATAAAGGCACACAAGAAGAATGCATTAAAATATTGTTGGAGTACTGTGGAGACAAAGCATTATGGTCTCAAGTTAAGCATTTCGTAACTTTTCTTGACTCTCAGCTCAAGATGTGTGAGATTTGGTATAAAGAAAACAAAAAACTGATCAATGATGCCAAAAGCATAGTGATGAAGTATATAATTGAAATGGGTAAACGATTTATAGGCGTACTTGACGACAATGAAAATAATGCTTCACCCAGGGACAAATCCATGATATTTTTTCATGAAGTGAATTTGGATGACAAACAAGAAGTCCATATGACATTTTTTAAAGTCAAGAGAGTCCCACCAAATCTTCTGAAATTAATCAAGGAATCGGATAAAATTGGTGGAAAATTTCATATAGTGGAAGAATTTGACGATCAAGAGAGGGAAAAACAGCTTCGTACTTTGAGATTGATTACAAATGCCCTCACTTCAAATGAAGACCCGGACCCTACTTACAAATTGACCACAGATAATCTACAAAAGATTATTTCATTAAACATGAGAATTCAGTGCAAGATTCCTGTGATATTAGAAGGAGAAACTGGATGTGGAAAAACAAGGATGGTAGAATTTCTCAGTAAACTTAATAAGGCATCAGATAAAAATGCTAGAGTCCTGATTACAAGAAAGGTGTATGGTGGTATAACTGCCTCTGATATTCAAGAAAGTATCAAAGAAGCAGAAAAGCTGTGGTCACAGAGTAAAACAGACGAAGACATGAGACTGTTATTTTTTGATGAAGCAAACACAACAGAAGCCATATACGCAATTAAAGAGGTGATGTGTGACAATACATTCGATGGAGAAGCTGTTGCAATGGAAAACACAACAATAATTGCTGCTTGTAACCCGCATAAGGAAATGTCAAAAACTGCTATTGAGCATCTCAAGTCTTGTGGACTGGGAAGCAAAATCCATGCTAATCAAGCAGATGAAAAAAGTGGCAGTGGAATGCGAAATCTAGTGTACAAAGTTTTACCACTTCCTCCAAGTATGAAGCCCTATGTTTGGGTCATGAAACAAGCTGATGAATGTACCGAAAATCTATATATTGAACAGATTGCCAAGAATATTACTAGCATTGTTAAAACTGAAGATCTTAGCAAGCTTGTGTCCGAGGCCCATCAATTCATTAAAGAGCATAACGATGGGTTTAGATTCGTCAGTCTGCGAGATGTTGAAAGGTGTATGAAGGTATATGAGTGGTTTCATAACAATAGTGATGTACTTTTTCCATTAATTGATGAAGAAAAGCATAATGTTTATCAGGACAAGAAACTCCCATCCATTGAACCGGATTTTCGCAAATTAATCCATGCAATAAATGTTTGCTATTACGCTTCTCTACATCACGAGAGATCGAAGTTTAGAAAAAGGATACACGACACATTGATAACTCTTGGTGTTTCAAATTTGAATGAGAATGACTTATTGCAAGAGCTTTTAGCCTGCCAAAAAGTTTTCTTACTCCAAGCCCAAATTCAAAGCTCAGAGAATATTTCATACAACCGAGCTCTGATGGAAAATTTCTTCATGATGGTCGTTTGTGTAGACTTGCGAATTCCCCTTTTTGTCATTGGAAAACCAGGCAGTTCAAAATCCCTGGCAAAGACATTAGTGTCGAATTGCATGAGAGGTAGATTTTCGGAGTCTAAACTTTTCTCCAAATTGAAACAGGTATGTAAGTTTTTGTCGATGAGAAGGTACTAGGTAACAAGTAACTCTTAATAATACTAAGTATATTTTACAGGCAAATATGATGTCATACCAATGTAGCGCTCTGTCTGATGCTGCTGGAATTATCCACACATTCGAGCAATGCTGTGACATGCAAGAAAACAATGATTCAAATACATTTACATCCGTTGCTGTGCTAGATGAAATCGGTCTTGCAGAAGACTCACCAGCTATGCCACTCAAGGTAAGTTTCACTTATAGAAAAATCTTACAGGGAAATAGTAAATATTCCAATAAGATTTCAAATTGAACATCACAGTTGCCACAGATAAAAATTTAGGTTCTAGTTTTAAGATCATCGTTCGAAACATAGCGTTCTCTATAAAGAAGAATTCCGTTCTCATCAAACCAACATATATAATTATGCAACTCAATGGTTGCTTCTTCTTCTGCCTCTGCTACTCATTAGGAAATTTTATTCCTATGTGGAGTTACAACATTAAAAGTGATGAAAAATGGAACAATCCAATAAAATGACAACCTGAATTATTTTATTGTTTCCAGGTTCTTCATCCATTGCTTGAATTTGGCAGCATGAAAAGTAACGAACGAGGACATCAAGTTGCATTTCTTGGTATATCTAATTGGCCGCTTGACCCTGCAAAATTGAACAGAGGTGTTTTTCTTTTTCACGAAAATCCAGGCAACGAAGATTTGTACAAAACAGCAACAGAAATTTGTGCCATAAATGAGCAAAGTCATCCCAATGCCCAAAAAATTTTGAGAGCTCTAACAAATGTATATTTGGAAATAGAAAATTGTCAGGTTGTAGAATATTTTGGCCTTAGAGATTTTTACAGTCTTATAAAATCTTGCAATGGTCACTTTGGAAATCCTGAGTCATTATTCAATGCGGTAGAAAGAAATTTTGGAGGCGTGGAATCAGTTGATGTTGAGAAATTCAAAAGAGAAATTTGCAAAATATTCCCACACTCGGAACTTGTTTCAATGCCAATAAAAGAAGTAGTGCAAACAAATCTGGGTGAAACCGACAGTCGATACTTGCTTCTTCTAACTAATTATTATCCTTCTATAAATCTGGTTTCACTGGTTGTAGAAAATTTTGATAAGATGAAAGTCATCGTTGGCTCTGCATTTCCAGGAGATCAAACTTTTGCTAAGATTTGCAGAAACATACAGGAGGTAAAGACTTGCATGGAAACAGGAACACCTGTGGTAATGTTAAATCTTGCAGAAATTCAAGAATCCCTGTATGACGCTTTGAATCAACATTACAACACTCTTGGAGGAAAGAGGTACGTGGACATAGGATTGGGAGGACAAAGGCTGAAATGTTGTGTTGCTAAGAATTTCCGATTGATAATACTTGAAAAAAAAGATAAAGCTTATACAGAATATCCGATACCTCTGCTTAATCGGCTGGAAAAACATTTATTAGATTCAGATGGTTTATTGCCAGAATCTGAAAATAATAAAATGTTAGAAGTTCAAAAATGGACGGAGTTATTTGTAACAGTTGACTTTCAAAAATCTGATTCGATGGTAGGCCATCAAAAAGATACGGTGAGCTCAACTCTACTATTGTGCCCAGATATAGATGAATGCAAAGAAATGTTACTCCAATCTGCAACTTTGGATGCAATGTACAGAATCAAAAAAAATAACACTGACCTGGATCAAATGAAAAAGTTGCACAGTACCTATTTTGAAAAACAAAGTCACTACAAACTAACAGACTTTTTGAACCGGACTCTGGGAATTTTGGGAAATCAAAAAAAGTTACCTATTAGCATGTTCGAAATTGTTTCTTACTCTGGTATTCTTGTAGGTAATGACCGAGAACAGTTGGAAAAAAATCTGAATTTGGAAAAGTATGATGTGATGATACTCAATATTAGACAATTTTACACACTAAGAGAATTTGAACATGATGTTGAGATATTCTTACAAGAATGCAGAGACTATAAGCAAGACACATCTAAGAAGATAAATGCTAAAATTTTAGTATTGCAGTGTCCCCAGGCTCACAAGTATGCAAAACTAATTGAATGTGCTAAGCATTCCTGGTCTAATAAAGATAAAACAGGGATTTCAATACCTATTATTGTAATTGTTTTGTGGTCCATTGATAGAAATACTGAATTCTTGATGCAACAAGCGCAGGACAACAGAATTATCTACATCGATGAAGTAAGTCCCTTCCAAACTGATGAAACTGAAGCTGATGCAACCGAAAGAGAAAATGTTTTCTCAACTGAAACCTTATTGAATACGAATCTCGTTGACATATTTGCACCAAAAAATGCATGTAACAAATCTATGAAAAAGTTTTTGCAAGATAGTCTCAGCAAGGCAATGACTAAACTTGAAGGTTCTCAAATTGCTTCCACACGCTTTAAAGCAAGAGTTAAGACCCTCACAAACCTTCTGCAAACTGATGAGAAAATAGGCAAAAACTTTCGAAGCAAATTTCTGGACAAGATTCATAAAATCTTAATGAGCGAGGAAACCTTGAAAAGCAATAATTGGATTCATGTTGTGGCAAATAGTAAAAAGAGCTTACAAGAAGGAGGAACGTTTCATAAAGCTCTGCTTCTGTATTTGAAGACACTGATATCAAACTTGATAGCTCACTTCATTTGTAATATCGATGTGCAGTGCAATTTGAATCTTATTAAAACATTTCCTGATGTGCATCATCAAGATGGTTATCGAACAGAAAACATGTGGCTAAGCATGTTTGAGAAGTTGACCTTTGACCATTTGAGGCCAGACTGGATGCATAAAGAATTCATAGCTGTCAGTCCAATTGCTGAACGACCAACGCTGGCATGTAAGTTCCCGTTTGGATGTAAGGTTACCGGGAGTTTGCAAACACATTTAATTTCAATATTGAAATCCAGTTCGAAAGATTGTAATGCAAGTTTGGTGAATTTTTTCAGAAAACATGATTTATATCCTGTTATTAATAATGGAATCTCAACTTACCCAGAATTATTACAGGGTTACGTGCATGATTTGGTCAATAGCCACTACACACCAAGTTCTGAACAACATCTGGAAACTGAAGTTAATGCTGTCATTAAATTGGTTGAGAAAAGAGCCTTTGTTGGCAAAGACAATGTCGAACAAGCAGATAAACTTCCACTTGTTTATGCTACATTTATTGATTTAAAGGACAAATTGAGAATACTGAGGGAAGTATTTAAAGTTAGCCCACTCGTTGCCGAGTCAATAAATACATTAACGTCCGAAAAATTTTGGAATTGGCACAATGGAGATATACACCATTGGGGAATGCTTAAAGCGTTAGAAGATCTTAGACAAAAAACTACATTTTTTTCAGAGAATCCAGAAAGTTGTTTATCTTGGCTGGAGCAAGCCAAAAGCATTGAAAAAACCGTTTATCTTGTACATGATTGTATACAAGAGCAGGAAAAAAAAGATGAACTAATGATTAAATGGCTGCCAATATCTTTAGTGAATGTTTTACTTCTACAGTTGATTCCCAACAATGAATACAAATTTGAATACACTGAAGTGGTAGCTAATTCTGCTGAATTGCTAGTTTCGGTTCAAGATGAACAAAACATTGAAGATTTAACTATTATTGTATGTAACACAATTGGCAGATGCTACGATGACTTAAGAATAAAAATACTCCTATCTTGGGAGGAGATGACTTGTAATATGTGCAAAGAGGATATGGAAGATCCTCAATGTCTAACTTGTGGACATTTTTTTTGTCTCCAATGCTGCGAAGAGATACTCATAGATGATTCCCCTAAATGCACACAATGCCTCACCATTATTTCAAAAGATGAACCTTATGAAGATGATACCCTATCCAAGTCAGATAAAAAAAGATTACAACAGTTTCAGTTCAGTTGTACCAGCTTTTTTATTGAATTTTTGAAGACTATTTGCTTCTCATCTGTCATGAAACCTATAAACAAAGAGAAAATGAAATCTTTTATCAAACTCGTATTCACACTTCTTTTCCAAACTGACAATGATAGAAAATTGGAATCATCCGCTATAGGATCTGACATAAATACAAAAGCTTGCTTATTTGGAGAATTAGTGAAGAATGAGCAAGTACTTGTCACAGAAGAGATTAATAAAACTTTGCAACAAGCGTCGGCAAATGAAAAACGGGAAATATCACAATTCATAATATACCACTTTGAACAACGCTTGCTTTTCGAAAAGTCAAACTCAGTTAACATGCAAGAGTTGGAGAATGAGCATTTGATACTACACTCACACCAACCAACTCTTGAAACATTAAAGTCAATAGCTACTTTAAGGAATGCCTGCAGAAACTTAGCCATTCAGTTGTATGAGAAAAGCAAACAATATGTGACAGAAATGGATGATATTATTAACAGTTTCATTGATTTTTGCAAACGCTCCAAAGTGATTGACGTAAAGCAACTTGTCATCAAAGCTGGATGTGCACAATTTGGTATTGACTGGTACAGAGAAATGTTGAAATCTGAAGTGGCCAAGGTATGACAGACGGTTTTAGTTTAAAAAAAATGATTTGGTATGCTTTCATATTAATTTCTTTTTGTTTATCAAAAAATATGAGCAAAAATTTTATTCATATATCAAACACTTAAATTTATATCATATACCATCATAAGTTTTGAATTTGAATCTTTTTTCTTCAAAATATTATGTACTCCCAAATTAGACATTGTTAGAAAATGCTTCAGCTTACAACACCTATGAAAATATTTTTGAGTAATCTTGAATATTATTTCTATTAAAATGAATTTATAGAATCCATTCCTAGAATTCATCACTTCATATCTGTATTCATGCTCATTATAATAACAACCATTTATTCTATATAATTGGTGGCACTTCAGTGCTAAGTGATGAGTTCTTGATACTCAATCTTGCTTTGAGCAAATTTCCATGGAAACTGCTACCATGAATAAAACATCTATTTCTTTGCAGGGATTAATTCCTGAAAAGTGGAAAACTGCAATCAATGAGTATGACACAGACCATTGGCTTCTTTTTGATGCAATATTGACCGAAGTGGAAGGGGGCTTGAGAAAGCCTCTACAATCACGTGATGATTTCATGTCCGAATTAGCAGCTAAACCACCAAGCAGAGAAAAATTATATTTTGCAGTAAAACGAAAGTACCAGCAAGGCCTCAATTGTAACAGTCATATTACGAATGATGAAGAATTGGGATTCTTCATTAAAATAAATAACCAAGTTTGCCAAGTTTTCAGAAATATCAATCCAGATGAGAATCTAAGAGAGTGTGGCTCCGTTCAATTACTTGTGATGTTTGTGGCAACAGTCATAAATAAAGGTTGCCATATGATGTCTGGCTTTGCTCAGTTTGCTTTGAAACCAAATACAACTAGTAGGCTATCACTACCAACAATGTTTACGGAAAATACGGGTTCATACCGGGAAGACACCACATGGATCGTGCAATTCATATTACATGCCAGTATTCTCATTGGCTATATAAATAATTCGCAGGCTGTAAAAATGTGAGTTTATTGGATTCGCAAAGAAACATTATCACTTTTTGTAAAGATAAAATACTCGATAAAAATAAAGTTAGAATTTATGACTTTAATAATTTACGATAACTGTTGCATGCTAACATGTGGCAATTATAGAAGGAAATATTATACAAAATTTTTCTCTTGTCAGATCTCATATTATATGAACCTTATTTTTAGCATGCTTAAAGGGTCGATCAGGACACACGAATTAGACAAGTATCTTACAGAAAAGCTCTGCACAATCTTGCGAAATTTGAAAGGATTGTGGAAGATGGATATGCATGATACTTTTTTAATCATGCACCATGTCCTGGAACAAATATGGGATACGGAGGTTTGAAAAGTTTTGTGTTGGTTGGCTTCTATTCTATTCTCTTACTTAGTTGGTACTTTGTTTGGTAACAATTTTAATAAGATGGGGATGATGACTCAGCGGTTACAACACTTGACTTTATTAATATTTATTTGGTAGAATATATAGTTTTGAGTTGAAATTCCTTTTCAATCACATCATTCTAAATTTAACGAATTAACGTGGCTCCACGAGAAACTGGAAAGTTTAATTGCTGCTTATCTAAAGGTTCGTTCAGAGGAAATGCCTAAAACATTTCGATATTTTTGATTAGCCAGGATGGAACTTTACTTTCATATAACATTAAAAATAGTATATCAAAAACCATACTTAGGTCAGTGTGTATTTAAATCTTTTTTCCATGCCTTTATAGATTGTTTAGACTTTAGAGTCTAGACAGCATTCCATGGGCAAGAAGTATGTTGCATTGCGCTGAGCATTGAATGCGTAACAGCTCAAACTCAAGTATATATTTTTAGTATATTCCAAATATGGAAATATTCAACTGGATTACGCTGGAAGGAAGATGTCAGTGGAAAAACAATTTTCAAGAAAAATATTTGTCTTCTACAGTATCAGTAGATAGTATCAATGAAACTCTGATGAACATAAAGACTGAAAAAAATCGTCGTCTTGTGCAATCAAATTTATTCAAGTATGTGGTGACTGTTTTTTAATTGAAATTCCTTTCAATGCTCTTGTCAAGTATCCCTCAGGGAATTCAGGGGGGTTCAAGTATTGATATGTGGGGTTAGGGTCGAACCCCCACGCCCCTTTGAAAATCTGTAAAAGTCGCTAGTAACGTGTGTGGTTGCATTTTGCTAAAATCGATAATTGTTATTGTCAGTGTGACGTGATATTTAGGCCGTTAACTGGTAAATACCTTCACGTTGCTGTTTAGTTTTTCTAAATCATAAATTTGTGCAACGACAACGATGATAATTACTTGATTCTAGTAGGCTACTTGCACAGAATTGTGCATCCGTTGAGATTTATTATACATTCATCGGCGGCGGGATGCTAAAGACCAATAAAAGAGTAGATCCGCGGCGCGACTTTTTTGATCGAAAAACTACAATGTAAAAATAGAACCGAAAACAATATAAGTTTTGTCGTAGGAGGCCCGCGACAAATTAAAATTGCTCACTTTCTTAGGCATTGTTAATTGCAAAATTTTGTGTGCCTACGACACAAATTATCGGGTCGGTGTTTAGAACCATACTGTCACTAAAATGAATCGAAACACAGTCAATTGTGCACAAAATTCACTTTTTCATCCATTACCGGTACTTGAAATTGTCGACGAAAATTTTTGTGATAATATTATACGTGGTTGGAACACGGACTTTTCCATGGTTGTAATGCTGTAATAAAATTTATTCATTCAAATTTTATTATACTGAAATAAACTTTACTCCGTAAAATTTTAGAGCAGAATTAGATTTTTTTCAACGGTTTTATCGTAAAAATAAACTGAATGGCAGCATTGCGATAGAGCGAAGTCAGTGTTTCAGAAAATATCAAACTAGATATAATCGGGTATTTTTAAATATACCCATATCAGTAATGGATTGATTATTTTGCACAACAGAAAAATTATTATTATCCGTCGAAAAAGTTGTTCCGCAGGGCTTTCGAGGCAATCAATAGGTACTATTGATATACTTATATACTTTATATTTATTTAATTGTACTTTTATACTTCTGGAGCACCGAAAATTATAGATTCTCATAGTGGCCATGGATTGAATATTTTACGTGACAGAAAAGTTGGTATACCCTGGAAATGTCGACTCTTTTAACGAGCACTCAATAGTAGCGACTGTTTCGGAAGGGAGTTGGAATTGTCGATTTTGAAACCCTCCCTTTTGAAAAACCTGGATGCGCGCCTGCATACATATGTGTGATCTATTTTACTAGCAATATTAATAAAATACATTCTACAAATTTAGGTGCAGGATTTTTCAATTTGGTTGAGGAATGATGCGTTAGGTGTGATAGTTCCTTCCGGGCCACATTCATTAATATTATTCATTTCAATCATTTGTACAGATTTTTGCATGATGGTGATATGACTGATGATGACCTGGATAAAAATCTGTTGTGGAAAAGAGAATCACTTTGCTGCTATACTGAACTTTGTTGTCTTGAACGACTCCAGCAAGTTCTAAATGAATCAAAAAAAGGTGAGAGTAATTTGATTTTTCGATCACTTTCATCAATAACTGACAAGCAGTTGAACGACTATGCGATGCCAAAAAGCTCAGTACTTAAAAGTGTGTTGTAAAATGTCGAGTAGTGCTAATTCAATGATGCATTCGACAATAGACTGATTGAATGGGCAAATGAGAAAATATTTATTAGACAGCTACTAAACACTAAAAGTAGACTATACGTGAACTATGAAAATCATCTTTTCAGCGATGGGCTGTGTTCTCAAAACTGTACTGGCTACTGAAAATATAAATCTTATCCAAGGTTTGGAGACTGTGTTGAAACTACATCGTATTTTGATAGAAAGGTATTTATTGTTTATGCAGTTGACTAGTTTCCCAACAGTCACTTAATGGTGGTGTAAATAGTGTAAGTTTGTGAATCTTGAAATGCTAAATTTTTATTGCAAAAAAAAAACTTTTCAACGAATTCGGTCAATTGTTGTTAGATATCTAATTTTCAATACTGAAAAATAAAGCAAAATTGATTAATTCTGAACTTTTTGTACAAAATCTGTAGGATTATTCAATAACAGAGCAATATTCCTTGTGGCTGCTTTTAAGTCTAAAGTACCTACATTTGCAACCTGCAAAACACTCATTTAACAAAATGTTTTTGTATCAAGGTGTCAAGGTTTTTCATACGAGAATGTCGAAAAAAAACAACTAAAAGAGTATTTGAAAAATGATGTTGAAGAACAAATAGCAGAAAGCTATTTGAACCTTTGGAATAAGGTAGTACATTGAATCTCAAGCTAAAAGTTTTTATTTATCTAATGTAAGGGAATTCAATAAGATGATTCAACATTTTAGCAAGGTTTGATTTGCGTTTGGTTTTGTAAACCACCCTGTGATGCCAAGCAGTCTGTGTATACTACTGGACCAAATAATTTCCTGTATGGTCTGAACTTGTATCTTTGCCTGGGTAAACAGCACTTGATATATGGTTTGGCATCATTAGGAATGGCTCACCTCTGAAATTTGTAGATTCAAATCCAGTTGAGCAGGGGAATTGCTTTTCCTCACCTTTTGTAGGGTAGTTTATGCAAACGCTGATTGTTTATGCCTTTTTCTGCCATAAAGTCCATGCTTCCAAAAAAAAATCTGGTAACTATTTCTATGCCTGGCATGGTGTATTCTAACATAAGATAAGAATGACTTTTGTTACTGCCCAAGAGACCATAGTTTGCCATGTAATAAACACTGTTGTATAATTGCTCTATAAAAGGGTTTATATGGTCAAATCATATATACAACAGAAGGATATTGAGTTCAAACTGCGGATTTCAACTGGGCATGCACTGTTCAGTTTCCCCAACCTCAGTGAAATTGAAATTATGAATGAACTGCTGAGCTATATGAATGGCTGAGAATTGTTGTCCACAGTGGCAATATGATGAAAGATTATTTTGCGATTAATTATTGAACATTTAAATTCGATTTTATTCAGGTCATGCCAACTCTCAGGTCAAAAGCTGCTGTCAGTGCTTTACTGACAGAACATATTTATGAGTTGTCTATGAGTAGCCCGGTGGCTATGTTTCTACCAAGCAATATTGGGCAAGGACAATGTGCAAAGAAGTTTGCAGAATATCTTATTGATGTACAAAACACTCTTATTGATGAATGCAAAGTCTCTGAAAATGTTACTTGCAAGTATGTTTATGAATAGTGGGGCTTCATGTTTATATAATGTTCGATAATTTTATTGATAAAACCTCAATATACCTTGATAAATAGGATTTAGGATAGGATTTACATATTTATCCCGGGAGGGAGGAAAAGTCGATGAGACGGCTCAACCATATGGCAAACCACGGCCTCTCGGCCGGTTACCATTCCATGTCGGTTATTGGATTAGTTAGTTGTTTTCCTTATTTTTCGGAAGCAGGGGACTTGATGGTGGAGGAAGCCGTAACCGACCAGCGGTTACGTGAACCACCCTACGGCAGCGAGGAGTCCAGCAATCCTCTTGCACATGACCATCTCCGCATGGGATTCGAACCTGCGAACCCACGAAGAGTAATCAGAGGTGCGGTGGCGAGCGTATTTCTAGCGCTTAGCACGATGAGCCACACCGCTGCGTAAAATGTTCTGAGAATCCTTGAAAATCTGTTTAATGGCAAAGTGTTAAATTTGTTCAGGCAAAAAACACAAGAGCGTGACTGGATGCATTGATCATTGTAGCTTTTTTAAGAAATATTTGGATTTAAGTAATTTTGGTTGCAATGAACCTAAGAACTTTCACTGTTCATGTTGTAACTCGCAAATGTATATTGCATGGAAAATGAAAATTAGCATCTCCACAGTTCTAAATTTGTTTCTGATGTAGAAATTAGATTTGTATTGATTTGTATTTCCTATTTGTCTTGAGTGTTGTTATGCTAGAAAAAGTGTATATTGAGTAGTGAGTATCATGAGATTAGGGTTATATAATGATATATATTATCATATTTTGATTTTACTGTTAATTATATTCTACAGATTCGATGAAATTGATGTCAGTGATGTTAAAAGTGCTCATTTAATATGTATAGAGAAGCATCGTGACATTCTTCCTTTGATACAAACTCATGCAGTTTACACTATTGAAAAGGATGAGTTTGGGGAGCATCACAATGTTATATACAAGCTTGATGTTTTGGAAAAACAGGTAAGAACGCCATCATTTTTCACAAAGTGATTAAAGATTTGAAGATATACTAAAAATTATAGATTAAAAATAGAAAAACTATGAAAGAAAATCTTCGATGCTGTTTGCATAAACTTTCCTAATATCTCAGCTATATATTTGGATTACTGGGAAGTTGAAATGCTTTATTTCTTTTGGTTTTGGATACATTTGTTTAAAATGGCTGAACTTGATTATGCAAAAGTGTTGGTTCGCACTTTCACAACATTGTTTCAATCTGCTTGTCCTAGTAAATTTGACAAAAGACTTACAACCTACTAAACCTTATACGTAATACTTTCAAGATCAAACTAAAGGGCTTTGCATAGGAAAATCTTAAATGTGTATAAATGTTTTGGCAGGTGGAAGTCAAATTTCTGAAAGATAAAAGACTTATCAGGAAAAAGGTAGGATCGAGGATAGGATTACATATTTATCCCAGGGGAGCGAAAGCCGATAAGCCAGCTTAACCATATGGCAAACCACACCCTTGTTGTTCAGTTGCCAGCCCAAGTTAGGTATGGGATTAGTTAGTTACTTGTTTTCGGAACATGGACTTGATGGGAAGAAAGCCGTAACCGATCAGCGGTTATGTAAACCACCCTACGACGACGAGGAGTCCAAAAATCCTCCCGCACAAAACCATCCCTGCATGGAATTCGAACCCGCAAACTTAATCAGAGGTGCGGCGGCGAACGTATTGCTAACGCTTAGCATGATGAGCCACATCGCTGGGTCTAAAAGTAAAAATTTTGGTTGAAATGGACTGTTGGTTAAAAAATGGATTGTTTTTTTTATTAAATATGATATTATATATTTTCGTTTTATATTTTCAGCATACCGGTAATATCTCATTTCTGTTTTTAGACATTGCCTCGAATCTGGTACAGCAGTAACACTGGTATGGAGAGCGACTGGAAAGACATGATTTCTATGAACTATGAACAGGTAATAAAACTGTCAAAAAACTCTTGGATACTTTGTAATAGTAATTTACTTTTGAAGGTTGATAGATATTAATTGCACTGAACTTTTTACAACAGTTCGAAGGGCATTGAAATGCATTCAAGTGGTGAATTTGCACCATATGGCAAACAAAATAACGTTTTTTTAAGCTATTGAAAATAAACTTACTTCTTTTAATTCAATCTGTTTTTATATATCATTTTATTTGGTAAATTTTGATACCACAGAATGAGTTGCCTGTGAACTTGAAGATGCAGACTGATGGCTTAGCATCATATTCATCAATTTTGTACTCAGCTGTGAGATCTCTCGAAGATGGAATTAGACGATTGGCAACGGTGAGCTATTTTTCTTGAATTCAATTTAATTTAATAGTTTTAAGTTGAAGAGTTTCAAGTTGAATGAGAAATAATTTAGTTATATTGTCAAATAGCTTTCAAATCTTTTTCATTCATGCATTCAATCATGAGGTAATTGTGAACTATGACTATATACAAATATATATGTAACTTTTCATTTTGTTTAGGGCAGACAATACCAACGATATGCCATGACACAGTTTCTGATATCTTCCAAATAAACAGTGTTACCTGTGTATATTCTAATATTCTCTTGAAAAGTTGAAAAGTTAACTTGTAGCTATCTATATATATCTTCAGTGGAAATTTTTTTTTATCTAGGTGCATGTGGATCCCAAAACCAGATTGAAAATATTTCTGGAAGATGAATGCAAGATATCTTCTGCTGAGTTAGAAGGAATTCCTTCAATGGCTAACATTGAGCACACATTAGCAATGTACTCGAGACTTTCATGGCATCGTTCTAAACTGTATTTCTCCCGTGGACTTGATCCATATTCTGAAATACTTCCAGAAGGTAAATTTATGTTCTATGAAAATTTCCAAATAGCCGACTATCCAAATGAAATAGATTAAGAAAAAACAGTATCAATTTCAAAATGAAATAAATAAATTGACAGATAGGTTAATTTATATATCTTATCAAAATAGAACGTCTCTTTGATGCGACATATCATGGCCACAAAAGAAACAAAACTCAAACAAAATGTGGAAAATTGAAATGTTTGAAAACAAAAGGCAAGCAGACTAGTTCAGAACATTTACCATTGTACCTTGCTTGACCCAATACTGAGTAGTTTGTGTATTTCATTTGCTAACCAGCTATACATATTTCATAGGTTCTCAAGAAGAAATAAAAAAGCCCATAATTGGAACAACACAAGGCGAATCAACACATGAAGTCAAATCAACACATGAAAAACTGAATGCTGTTCTACAAAATGCAGACATCAATGTTTGTCAACAGCACATAAATGAAGTAATAATTCGTTTGCCTGGCACTTCTCCAGAAAAAAGGTATTTGAAAGTAACTTATACAATATTAATTCTTGATAACAATTATTTGAAAAGAATTGAGTATATTCAAAAAATTCATCGATAAATTACATATTAGAATCACACAATATTTTAGGCTGGAACATACTTCCAGCTTTTCCAAAAATGAAAAAATAAACGAGACCCTAACTGATGTTAATATATTAATTTGATTTTTAAAATGAAATAAAATAATTACGGTAACATTTATTTCCATTTCATTTTATCAATTCCCCCTAAATACTTTTTTACAATACAAGTTAAACATTGTCACACCCCAGAAGTGCTGTAGTATGCAAAACAAATCAATTTTGCTATTTGCGAAAACATCTGTATTACCAATCTTCTCTGGTTCTGATGTACAGGAATTTATTCAAACAATTTTTTATTTTAAAAATTAGAAGAATCAAAGTGCCATTCTTGTGTCAAAATTTTTGACACCATTATTTGAGAGTTTTAAATACATACAAAACATTCATTGGACACCACCAATGCTTTGCAGCTGAGACCTTATTTTTAACTCCACTGTTAATGGAGTTGAGAAATAAATTTCGAAAATCTATCTGAAGATGGCAATTCATCCTTCCACTGGTGGTAATTGAAATCACAATTCATGACAGAAACTAAAAATGCATTAGGTTGCTGACCAAGCATTTTTAACAGACTGGCATATGATGATCAAAATTGTTTTCAACTTTGGGTCGCACGCTGGGGACAAAATTTTATCAACCCGGACCCAGTCATTTTTAAATGGTATCAGGTCTGGATTTTCCTCCATATCCCCCCATCCTCTACCTTGTCCAAAATATATTTTAATGAAATGTATATATATATATATATTTTGTTTCAGGCTTGCGAAAGAGGTGTTTCCGCATGTTAATTCTCCATTTTTCAGTCAAGTAAAAACCAGACAATGGTATTCAGGATTACCTGATGATATTCGTTTCAAGCACATTTCATATTTATTCAAGCAGACGATGAAGCTTCAATCTAAATAATTATTTTGTCTATATTTAATTTAAATGCATTATTGATATGGGGCATTTGTGCTAAAAAGATATATATATATGGTAGCTCTGATCTAGATTGGTAGTAAATTTGCAATAGTAGCATGCTTACAGACATTTCAGCCTGAGCAGGCTTGGGTGCAGAGATACATTTTGATGCTCAACAGCTGTGATTAAATTTTCGGTAATGAAAGTCTATTACAATTCCATTACTATAATCCATAAAAGTGGAGAACATCTCCAAATTTCCCATGCAAGCAAACCTCAGTTGTTGATGTTAATATGTAAACGTGGTGCAACTGGTATAAAAACCTAAATATACATGTTTGTTGAAGAACAATTTCCACATAAAACAGGTCATTTATTATGACCATTTGATTTTGAAAGATCATTTATCCAGTCTTCTATGCCTGCTATGGAATCTTTGAGAAATGTATCTCCGCACCGAAGCCTGCGCGGGGGCATACGTCATACCTTGCCCGATTAGAAATTGATTTGTTTTTTATTATAAGATCTGATTCGACCTTATTTGTTTTTACCCTAAGCTTGAGCTCTTCTCGAGCCTTAGGTTCTACCTTTTATTGGGCTTCGATTCTTTTACTTCGGGCCAGTGTAAAGCAGTGGTGAGATTCAATATTTTTGTCACCCGGTTCCATCACAAAAGTCATATTTTTCAGTCGGTTCTGTTACAATAAGTCATATATTTTTAGCAAATAAACCAGTAATGCTAACCGGTTTGCTGATCTCATAAAATTCTGCGAGACGGTACTATAGAACCGGCGCGAACCGGCTGAATCCCACCACTGTTGTAAAATGATTTATTATTTTTCATTTCAGGCAATCAATCAATTAATGTTAATATTACAATTTTTGAATATGAGTTTTGAAATTATATAATTAGAGCTGAGTGTGATCTTACAAATTGATATTAAACTATATTATTAATCAGAAACTGATGGCTTAGATTATTGATTTCTTACGATTTTAAATTCTTCAAAATAAGAAGGTACATGAAAACAAAATTTTAGCCCAAACCACACAAATCGTTCAATTAGGAAATGTAAAGATTTCTGTCTGGTTTACGGAAGTCACTAAGGAAAAATTCTCTCTTTGGGTCTGATGATTGCTGGTTGGCACTCCAGAAGTGTGTGTACCAATATGGAGGTAACTAATTTCGTTTGCCAACTTTACATCAAGTTGTGTCAAGGGACGGAAGCCCGAGGGCAGGGGTATATTCGCTTGGCTAACACAAACAGTCCCGAACTCGTAATAGAACTACCGTAATATAAAAAAAATCGAATTAAATTTATGGCCTATCCCTAACCTGGCACACATACTACGGAAGTACCAGTTGGTTAGTGAAGCTGCGACTATCACTAATATAATTCCGTAATTACTAAAAATAACAGAGGTGCAATTTGCTTGTGCGCCATGTGTATCTTCCCAAGTTTCTAATCAGCAATCGACCCATAGCCACAAGTCTAAACTTGATCTGCCTATAGTCAAAAGTCATAAACTATCCTCATAACCGTCACAGGGAAACATTTAGACTTTACATTAGATCAAGTATAAGGATATTCTGTCAATAATTTGTGATAATGGCCTTAAAATATTTTTATCACTTGATAGTGCAAATTGAAGACCTGACTGTTAATGGCTCCTTAGCTTAGGGAGTCACATTCTCATCAAAGTAGAAGCTGTAGCTACAGGAACCTTATTGTGTCCAATCACGGCACGTAGTTCAATTTTTGGGGTAAATGTTCAAATCTTAAATTGTCCAAAGGGTACCTTTTTGGGGGTAAATAAGCAAGTCTTAAATTGTCCAAAGGGTACCTCTTGGAGATAAAGAGCAAATCTCAAAGTATAAGAGCAAATCTCAAATTGTCTGTAACTTTTGGGGGTAAAAGGGCCCTCTCGTAGTATGAGAACCTAGATGGCGGACATCGGAACGTAGTATGTGTACCAGGTTAGGGTTAGGCCATAATTTCAGGTACTAATACTGAGGGGGTCACTTGGCTAGGTCCCGAACTCATAATAGAACTAAAATAAGGAAAATTAGAATACACTTATGGCCTAAGCCTAGCCTGGTACACTTACTATGTTACAGTGCCCGCCATAGCATGCTTACAGACATTTCAGCCTGAGCAGGCTTGGGTGCAGAGATACATTTTGATGCTCAACAGCTGTGATTAAATTTTCGGTAATGAAAGTCTATTACAATTCCATTACTATAATCCATAAAAGTGGAGAACATCTCCAAATTTCCCATGCAAGCAAACCTCAGTTGTTGATGTTAATATGTAAACGTGGTGCAACTGGTATAAAAACCTATCTATACATGTTTGTTGTCGAACAATTCCCACATAAAACAGGTCATTAATTATGACCATTTGATTTTGAAAGTTCATTTATCCAGTCTTTTATGCCTTCTATGGCATAATTGAGAAATGTATCTCCACACCGAAGCCTGCGCGGGGGCATACGTCATACCTTGCCCGATTAGAAATTGATTTGTTTTTTATTATAAGATCTGATTCGACCTTATTTGTTTTTACCCTAAGCTTGAGCTCTTCTCGAGCCTTAGGTTCTACCTTTTATTGGGCTTCGATTCTTTTACTTCGGGCCAGTGTAAAGCAGTGGTGAGATTCAATATTTTTGTCACCCGGTTCCATCACAAAAGTCATATTTTTCAGTCGGTTCTGTTACAATAAGTCATATATTTTTAGCAAATAAACCAGTAATGCTAACCGGTTTGCTGATCTCATAAAATTCTGCGAGACGGTACTATAGAACCGGCGCGAACCGGCTGAATCCCACCACTGTTGTAAAATGATTTATTATTTTTCATTTCAGGCAATCAATCAATTAATGTTAATATTACAATTTTTGAATATGAGTTTTGAAATTATATAATTAGAGCTGAGTGTGATCTTACAAATTGATATTAAACTATATTATTAATCAGAAACTGATGGCTTAGATTATTGATTTCTTACGATTTTAAATTCTTCAAAATAAGAAGGTACATGAAAACAAAATTTTAGCCCAAACCACACAAATCGTTCAATTAGGAAATGTAAAGATTTCTGTCTGGTTTACGGAAGTCACTAAGGAAAAATTCTCTCTTTGGGTCTGATGATTGCTGGTTGGCACTCCAGAAGTGTGTGTACCAATATGGAGGTAACTAATTTCGTTTGCCAACTTTACATCAAGTTGTGTCAAGGGACGGAAGCCCGAGGGCAGGGGTATATTCGCTTGGCTAACACAAACAGTCCCGAACTCGTAATAGAACTACCGTAATATAAAAAAAATCTTGGTTCAGTACTTCAGGAGTACACCTTTTTGGGGGTGAAAGATCGAATATTAAATTGCCGAAAGGGTACCTTTTGGGGGGTAAAACTGCAAATCTTAAATTGCCCAAAAGGTACCTTTTTGGGGGTAAAAAAGAGAATCTTAACCAAACCAATTATCCAAACGGTACCTTTTGGGGGGTAAAAGAGCAAATCTTAAATTATCCCAAAGAACACCGCTTTTTGGAGGTGAACGATCAAATCTTAAATTGCCCAAAAGGTACCTTTTTGGGGGTAAAAGAGAGAATCTTAAATTTTCCAAACGGTACTTTTTGGAGGTAAAAGAGCAAATCTTAAATTATTCAAAGGTTACCTACTTTTTGGGGGGTAAACGAAAAAATCTTGAATTATCCAAAGGTTACATTTTTGGGAGTAAAAGTGCAAATCTTAAATTATCCGAAGGGTACCTACCTTTTAACCAAGTCTTAAATTGTCCAAAGGGTTCCGTTGAACAGAAAGTTTGGGAAACTCCATCTCAAACGACTAAATAAGTCAGAAGAATGGCAAATATATTTGGGCACAGAACTGCGTTTACTGTTTTATTTTCCCTCCCAATCTGGCAAAAGTCAAGAGTGATAATGAATCATATAAAGTTATCTACTAAATATATTCAACAATTACAACATATAATAACTACCAGTATTAGTAACTTCTGTCCTTCACAACAATAATATAAGAGATTGAAACGAAAAATGCATTTCTGGTGCCATATGTACAAAAACGAGTAAAATACAAGACAAAAAAAGAAAAAACATTTACCCAGACAAGAACTCTCTCGTCATGACAGGATGGTTCATGTTTAATGTATAAAGCAGTGTATACTAGTGGTTCTTAAACTTTTCAAGCCACGCCCCATTTTTAAATTTGTTAATTTCTCAGCTGCGTCAAGCTACAAATAGCTGTTAGTAAGGCGAAAGTATGTTTTGTTCAAAAAACATGTTGAAAACACGCGGATAAAATCACAATCTCTAAACAAGAGAATGTAAATATCCAAAATAAGGTGAGCAAAATATTTTTATTTTCAATTAGTTCACGCCACATCAAAATATTGTCCACGCCCCCCTTGTAAAGCATGACCCACCTTTTGAGAACCACTGGTATAAAGTATTTTATTCAGCGAGAATACCTCTAGAGAGTTCACCAAAACGTTCCCACTGTCCAAATCTATGTATCGAGAACATTTCAGTACTCAATCCTGGCCTTGTAACTAAACTAGTGTTGTTATGTGGATGTTCTCCCTTGCAGGGAGAACAAAAAAATTCTAGACCATATTATACAAAGTAGGAACATATTGAGTACAGGAAATTTTTTCTAGAGTTTTTATTATACTTCCTTCACATTTTTTTAGTCATGGACTAGATTAGATCTTGAAGTTCACCTGGCTTGCCGTTGGGGATAGCTATGCTATGTGTCATTTGAAATAGGTTTCAAACATGAATCTATTTTTCACTTGAATTTGAATGGTCACTTGCAATATTACACACTTGAATACAAAATGAAAGAAACTGAAAAAAAAAGGGAAATTTGTTCAACATAAATATCTATAAGCCCAATGGTCACAAACCTAACCCAGAAAGAACCTACTTTTTAGGCTGCAATAGGATTTTCATATTACCTTGGTCCAGAGGGGAGATGGCCTAATCATATGGCGTACCAATAGTTATTATATATTTTAGATGTAAGGACATTTTATTCTTGATAATACATGGTATCTCCCTACATATTAGTGGCAACCTATTTGGAGTAAAGGCGACAAATAACAATGATAAGAAATACAACCAGATAAAAATACCTTCATAGCATGTCAATTATTAGTAATACACTGAAAAGAGTCAGGAGCAGAAAGCCAAGAAGGCACTCAAATAGATATCATCATATATCGTAAAAATTAGAAAAGAAGAAATTGATGATTACTTTCCAGGTACATTATAAACCAGTTAACACTACTAACCACTACCTAAAGGAGAACAAGAAAATAATAAGCAATATATATTCATTATATCATAGATAATGTAACAAATAAAAATCACACATTTTTAGAGCTACATCTACTTTGATATGTTATTAACAACTATACGTGACCTGAGCCTCACCTCAGTAACTGAGATTCATGGACTAAAAAATTAAATTGTTTAAACTGTTATTGAAGCCTTTCTCAGCAGCATTAATTAGTTTATGATCTGGCATCAACAATGAAGACTAAAATTGAATGGTTCGAGAAATGTTTTTATACACTGTGTCAAATAGAGGATATTGAGAATATTTTAAACAGTCGTGTGTTTCAGACAAAAAATCGCTATATCTTAATGAACTTCAATTTTTATTTTGCAAGCAAATATTCTAACCAAAAATGGTACTCCTGAAGTATGGTCACCAAGATGTCGCACAATCTAAACCCTAACCTTGTACACAACCTGAGTTCAGGTTGTGCGCCATCTTGGTGCGCATACTTCAGGAGGTCCCAAAAAATTAACCCTTAACGTAAACCGTAAATGTGTATAAATAATCATCAATTTTCAGTAACCAGCAAGATATAATTTTGGTTGAAGATTACCTATGATCAAATTGTAGGATCTTTTTTGTCTCAAATCTCTTATTTGTCCTAAGAGAGTTAAAACATATGATTTTCATCGAATCTTTTCCAATAATAAGTGTATTTGAATCATTGAATAGATATTTTAAAAGTCTCCTAAACCGCAAAAAAGTTCCGTTGAACCTGTAACGATGGTTACAATTTCTTAAAAATCATAATTTCGAATGTTCTCCATTGCACGTCAAATATGTGTTATAAGGTGAAATACTGCTATGTTATGGTCATGATTTTTTATGCAATTAAGGGAAAAAAAGAATGTAAGAATTCATAATAAAAATAGAAATAAATCTTGAAACATGATTACTTGACAGCAAAGCAAACCAAATGTATTTGTATTCAAAACCTCAAATAAGGAATAGAATGGTGGACGACCATACACCGTGGAATGACCAGCCGTATGAAAAGATTTTTGGGTTGCCCTTAAATGTCAAAATTGTATGTAATCCAACTCAAGAAGATGGTCATGAACCTATTTATAAAACACAAACATATGAAAATAGGGAGTGTGACACCCCCTGTGAATCACCCCATAAAATTTCGATGAACCAAGTGTTCCCCTTATAATGTATAAATGCACCAAAACAAAACCACCATATCCGAAATAGCAATATTTAGATTATAGAAAAATAAGCATATTTGGATGAGCTGTGGAAAGGAAAGTTATTTTTAGAGGGGGGGGGGGGTGCAGTCAGTGATGTGATTCGAATTCCTAAGAACAGGTTTTGTATCAAAGCAATAGGTTCAACATTTCAGAAAAACATGTCGAAAACAAGAATGAACGCACAAACCCATACAATCCCCCCAAACCCCACCGCTGGGTTCTGCCCGACTTGAGCTGATGATACTAATATGAAAATAATGATGAGGCTCACAAAATGATACCAGTTTTTAGCAATATATATGTAATAGTAACAATTTTTAAAAAAGATTTGCAATATTTTAGGTGAGATTTTTGGTGCAATGGAAGAACTATATATCCTGTCAAAAACCTATTCAAAATTCTCATGCAATGGAAGTCTAAATTTCTGAGATCATTTCCGAATCATAATATTTTTGAAATTAACACAGCTGTTTAAGGATCCAAGTGGAAGGTTGAAAACAAAGTACAGATTTTTAAAGCAACTGTAAAATTTCATTCGAATGACAATTAAGTTTTTGAATTGGTGTTTTTTCCCATTCTTTTCAAAAAGAGTTGCGGACAGATACCAGTTTTTTAAAATGAATAAATAATTATATGATTTTGTTGATTATTTATTATTTTAAAATGAAATGACTGTGATTTGATTTTATTTGACAATTTTTTGTTGCAGTAGTTTTCTCAATTATTCATTCATTAATTTTGCCTGCTAGCCAGTTTGATGGGTAGGTATGACACAGATTGTTATAAGACATAAAAAATGGAACGATTGCATATCGCAATATATGACAGCTGATAACAATTTCATTCTAAATTTTGTAACGAAAAAAAATTTAGTACAGTGGTTCACACAGATTGAAGAAATTTTCATTCACAAATATCATGCATAATTATAAAAATGCAACAAAATTTTGTGATAAAATCTTACAAAATAGTGATTCTCAGCGTGACCAAATTAAGGTAAACACAATGAAAAGTTCCAAAATGATATACCAGTAACAAAAAGTTGGTATGAGAAATGCAGGAAAAAAAGCAGGCACAAAATTTAGGTTTTAACTTGCACTACTAACTTTAAAGTAAACTTATATATATCTACAGTAACCTATTTATAAGCATATATGTACATTCAAAAATAAAAAATATACATCTACAAAAAATCACACTGAAAATATCTAATAAGCTAGTGTATAGCAGTAATAGAAATTGAATAGCACAATGAAGAAGCATGTTAAAGGAACAATAAACTTTGCCGAATCCCAGAAATATATTCCAGCAGCAGAATGTGATTTGCAGGAAAGCCTTTGTGCAAACCATCCATTCCGCAATGAATGCCATTTCATATGTTTACTTTAAGAATTTATTTAGAGTTTTATGTTTATTCAACCTCCAACATGCCAAAAAAGTAATTTTATATGTTTACTGTCACCATTTTCGATTTCAATTTCAACCCGAAGTATACTGCGAAAAATTCTCTCCAGGGCATCATGTTTTATATCAATCAGAAGAACAAAATTTTTTTACTGTATTATTTAACAAAAAGTATCACTGCCCTCATTTCGTAAAAAAAATTTCGCCACAGCTCTGAAGATTGTCACAGCTCTGAAAATCATGCAGTTCATTCAACAAATACAAAATAAATTGTAACAAAATTAATAAGTAACCAATGGCTGAATAATGCAGTAGTTTCATCTCAGAACTAGATTAAAATTTGAGAGTGAAGTATTCGTTTTATTAACAGCTATAAAAGAAGGAGTTTATTCAACTTCTTCATAAATAGGCTCTCGATCTGTTTGTGTATTTTTTCTTCCAAATAATTCAAGTAATTCTTTATTTGCAAAATATGGACGCTCCGGCGTTCCATCATTGCGTTCCAAGTCTTCCACTGCAAAAATATAAACAGATATGAGTAACTTAGACACTCAAAAATAAAAATAACGAACACAGAGTCTGGGGTTCATTATACGACTCCTGCTTCTGATACAGAAAATTTGATCGGTAAAACTTAGCGCTACTCAAACTCTCTTTAATTTCATTTGAAATTTCAGATTCTTCTCTGGAAATTCGACTTTAACTCCTGACATTGAAAAGTGTTGATTGTCAAATCAAACTCCACAAAAAGCACGCAAAAATAATCAAACCCTGAATCTTAAAATGTTGCGTAAATTTGTTGCATCGCAAAAAGACATGTGGTAATATTCTGCTACTTGGTTAAAAATTACATCGTTTTACAAAGGCCAATTGAACAAACTGGATGAAAAAGGTAATTGGAGGTAAGTGGTCTCTCCATTCTATGCCACTGGACATTGGTTCAGTGGAATAGAAACTGTGTGAGTGAAATGTTCAAAATTTTAAAAATGTCACACAATGCATGCAAATATATTAAATTAAAGTGTTTAATAGTAATGATTTATTAATTACTGACTAAATTATAAATCAAAATTCGTTGTAATATAAGAAGTAATCAAACAATTCATATAAAAACTTTTTTTTCTAAATATCAGTAACACCACACCAATCAAAGGAAAACTAAAAAAATTATAAATTTTTGATCAATCAGTTCCTCATATTAATCTCAGAATCTGAATGAGAGCTTGATTCGATGAAAAACTTACAATGTATTTGTTGACTTTCAAAATTATAATTTTTATTCAGTTTGATTTAAGTATTTTGTGCGTTCCACCAAAGTCAACCTTTTTTATACAAATAAGACTTATAGCTGAAAAAAGTATTAAGATACATGAATCACTTAGAATATCACTGATCTTTGATAAGTAGGTTATCCTTATTAAATTATGCGGATATAGGCTTTATAAAAGTGTTGGATATTCATATTTATGCTGGGGACGAGAAAGATGATACAGCGTTTTATTCAATATGGCGACCAACATCCTCTTATATGGTTACCACTCCATGTCGGATGTAGGAATTGTATATATGGTAATAGATATAAGACAAGATGCATGGACTTATTTACACCATCGCGAGGGCATAAAAGTAAGATGAGTGGTTCAACCACGAAAATAAAATTTAAAAAATTTGTTCGATCCATATAAGAAACTCTGATTTATATATAAATATGGACATGCGTGATTTTCCTCTGATCGATACCACATTGAAGCCACCACATGACAATGTGACACCAAAGAGATGACATAAATCCACTATATGCTACTGATGACACCATATGACGCTGTTGCCACCATAGGATACTGTTTTTTGATTGATGTTTACCACCTACACTAGCTAGACTCCAGTATGACGAGCTTTGATGCTTGCAAGCATTTTGCATTCCAAGTTTAGATCCTGATTCAAACTTCTAGGAGTCAGTAAACCTATAATTTCAACTAAGGCTATGTAGAATGGTTGAAGGGAAAATTTGAATGAATATTTGAATGAAGATTTTGAAAATTATTCGAATATTCCTTATACCAGGAAAATATTAGATTTTTAGCGACTATGACTACTGCTACATTTTTGGTTGTGCTATTATTTGATACAGGGTTTCCCAAACTTTTTGGGGCCGTGGACTCCTGTTTGTGACTTTCTGATTAAAATCTATCATTAAAGATTGATCAGACGCTTTTCATATCAATGTGAACCCCCTGTGAAGTCATCAAGGACCCCCAGGGGGCGGCAAATCCCAGTTTGAGAAACCTTAATTTTGTGAATTAGCATGCAATATTGTATTAAAAAATCCGGTAGTAGGTGCTGAAAGTGTTAATCAATTCAATTTGTCAGTGCTTTAAGGGTTAATTGATTAAACCGTGCAAAATTAAATCTAAAACTAATTCACCACAAGCGTTATTTTCGCTACTTTTTCTACAATTTACGTTTTATTCTTCCACTTTAGGTTTTTTATTTTTCTTTCCTAGGAGTTCCATGAGTCCTTTGCTCATGTAATACGGTTTCTCTTGACTGCCGTCGTTACGTTCCAAATCCTCCACTAGGTGGAAACATTTTATTAAATTAAACAAGCTTAAGAAAAACATGGGAAAAAGTATGAAAAATATTGTGATTGGAAAAATATTTTTTATTTATTTTAAGCATTTCCCGTTAAAGTGAGGTTGTAACATTCGTAATGTAAGCCAAACCGGTGCTCCAGAAGTATGTGCACCAAGATGGCGCACAACCTGAACTTTAACAAACCATGTTCATTTGTGCGCCATCTTGGTGCACATACTACGGAAGCTCCGCCAATCCATATCATTATTAAGACGTGCCTCGTAGCAACCAACCAATTGCTATTCTGCTAAAAATAAAAAAAATAAAATGTTAAGTTATCATCATATCTCAGTACCTAATTTTATTAGGAAATGAAGCAAGGGGCCCACAATTTCCCAAACAAGTATTCCATCCCTATTTACAGGATTATTTTTCTTTTTTGAACGGAAATTGAAGTTAGCATTCAATACTTACAGAAGCATAAGAAGATTGTGTCCACTGCCATTCCATAAGTGTTGAAAAATCCAGCTGCAACTATGTAGGCACCAATTCCAATCACCTAAAAACAATTTATATATAGATAGAAAATGTCTCAACTCAATGATCTAGTTGTCAGGGTCCTATTTTCATAGACTTGAAATAGGCAGAGCAAATATCATACCAAATTTTGAAAAACAAGAATTTGTGATGGTAGAATATTATTATAATGGGTTGCATTCAAACAAAAAATTGTAAAAGTTCAGAGAAGAAGTAAAAACATTGGACTTATTAGTGATATACCTACATTTTTATGAAGTTGAACAAAACATTATTCGGATTTCAATTGCTCAAAATTATACAAATTTTTCAAAACAAATCATCACAAAATATTTCTAAAATTATCAATCCATGAAATCAAATGTAACATGTTTTACTTTGAAATTCATTTCATACACCTCCCTCCCAATAACATTTTCATTAATATTCTTACCACAATTGGTAGCCAGTAGTAATTCAAGGAAGGCACATATCCAGATACAAACGATATCTGGTTGCTGAAGAAAGCCCAACTCAAAGCAACCAAACCGGATGTTACAATCAATTTACCTGCAAAAAGTAATATTATGGAATTAGAAAATGCAACTATTCATGGCCGGGGTTTTAACAGACTTATCACTTTCATCGTCGTCAATAGGAAACAATGTGGGTAGTTAATGTTTAACTATAAAGGTTCGAGGCCTACCAACGAATAGTGACCTTATACCCAATAATGGGTGCTCCAGAAGTATGTGTACCAATATGAAGGTAACTAATTTTGATCGTCTATTTTACATCAAGTGAAAAGGAACTGAAATCTATGGGCAGGGGGTATATTCACTTGGCTAACACAGACAGAACTCGTAATAGAACTAAAGTAAGGAAAATCAGAATAAAACTAGAGCTGCGTGCAGCTTTAACAGGCTTCCCGCGTAAAAAAAAATTTGCATTTTATTGCTAGCTGAGAACTTCTGCACATTTGAGGTGAATTTCAAGTTTGTAGGACCAATTTGAAAAAATAATAATAATAAATAAATAATAATAATAATAAAACACAGGAATACAATAGGTTCCCTGATGACAAGCATCGGGAAGCCTAATTATGACCTAATCCTAACCTGGTACACACACTACGGGAGTACCCAAAAATGACTTCTTGTCTAGAGCAGTGGTTCCTAACTTTACCAAACCGATGGAATCCTGAAATGTGACAGAATATTGAAATGAATTACTGACTGATCAATGATGGGATGGCAAATGACAAGCACATTCTTGAAGCTTAAAAACGAATCACCAATCTATATCAAAGAATGTGAAATAAACAATAAACAAAATATAAAAACTTACCCATAAAAAGCAAGAAATCTGTTACTTTATCAACAACGGCAACTCTAATAATATTTCTCATGATTAGTTTGAAGGCTTCCTTTGCAGACCAGCAGAAGTTCTTGCCATAGACTGCAACCTACGGGTATGGACAATATTATGAGTCTATTTTTATCAAGAAAATGTAGATTTGATAGTTTTACAGGGTGAGTATTAGTAAGTTTTTTAAAATTGGCCCCACTGATTTATAATATAGTGCCATATAACAGAATGCTAAGATCACAAATTTTTAAAAAATACAAATATTATTGTAAAAAAAAAATTTTGTACATCAATAAAAGATTGCAAGGTAAAAGTATATTGGCAAATGGCATAGTTCAAAAGCTCCCAAAATAAATTTTCCAGTAGTCCCTCATTTTTATATACCAGTAGAGGAGTGACAAAGATGTCATTGTGAAAAATTTAACCTATAAACTACCAAAAAACTTTTAAAACTGGAGATGGATAAAAGGTCCTGATTGCCATTTTAAAAGCAGCCTACTCATAGGGAGCCATTTATACAACAGGTTTGATTTTCAGTAAATGATACTTATTGCTCATTTTCATTTAGTTGCTTTTCACGTTATAGCTGAATTAGGTTTGTATGAAGTCTACCATTAGTGTGAAAAAACGTTGCAAAAAGCATATTTGTGTTGTTGCGCAGCAAGATTCTTCAATTGTTTAAACGAAAAGCAATCCCCAAACTTACCATAATGTATGCATTCCTGTTCAAGAACTTCATGAATTTTTCCAGACACCAAAAACAGCATTTGCAGCATTTAATGACAAACTTGGCTACTTTGCTTTCGGAACTTTTCACTTTATGATCAATGTACTCAAGCATAACTCGTATTATCTGTATCAGAGCAATGATAAATGCTCCAAATGCTAGAGATCCAGTGTGGTACCTGAACAAGAAAGCAATAAGCGTATTATATGGGTATGGAGATGCCATTATAGGTAAATTTAGGCATGCGTCAAAATTTTGATTCATGTTTCTACTTCTTAGCACAGTAGTCAATAATACTACCAAAAAACTAATCAGAAAGTCATCAAATTCCTTCATTTGCCTATTTTTTGCTTTTGCACAGTTTAATTATAATATGTGCTTAAATAAGGATTATAGTAATAATAAAAAACTAAAGATTACTGGTAATACTACAGCACATACAGAGCAAACTTGCTCCTCAAAAACTATCTAAATTGGACAAGAATTTCTCCCCGGTTAAGAAACATGGGTATACCGTGTGTAGTTGCCAAGTCACATGGCTCAAAATAAAACTGGATAGAACAGAATCGCTTAGCTATTTACACTCTTCTAGAAGTTATACCACTCATTTAGGTACCTCAATGTTCTGCCAAATGCGCCGAACAATGGAAGTGCAGGAATGTCTCGAGGTTTCTTGAAGGCCCAATAATATGAAGCAAACGCACCTTAACGAAAAAAAGGTTTAAGTTTATAATACAATAATAGTAAATTGAGTAATCTTGAAAAAGCCTTAAAAATATAATTTTTAAAATTGATGTAACTTTAAATAGAATCCAAGTTTTTAAGCGTCCTGGCTGTAAAATATCTCAGTTTTTAAAATAGGATACAAAAATAAGGATGAATGTCAAAATTTTTGTCATGTTTTTTAGGCATAAATTTAACATTGAAAATGAGTATTAACAATACATTGCTATTTTGATATACTTGATGGCTGACAACTCAAGCATTTGCATATGTCATTTGAGTCGCTACGTAATGTGATTTTAAACATTTGTTGAATAAAACAAGCTGTTTTTAAAACTGTTTTTAAGCGTTTTAGCAGGGTTATTGGTGTTTTTTAGCGGTTTTTCACTGTTTTTAAGCGTTTTAGCAGGGTTATTGGTGTTTTTTGACGTTTTCCACTGTTTTCAAGCGTTTTAGCAGGGTTATTGGTGTTTTTTGACAAACAAGCCACAGTCAACATAGTCAGTGTTGTTGTTCTATGCAGAAATTATTCAAAAAAACAGTAATAATAATATTTTGATAAATTTTACAATTCTCACCAGCTAAAGTGCATTCACCAAGAGCAATGACCCAGTTCAAAAGCCAGAACAATCCAAACAAGCAGGCAATCTGAAGCCAGAGGGTGTTTTGATGAAATCTGAAAAGAGTAAGTTTGGAATTGTTAAGTGAGCAACGTTGGATAGGATAAGACAGGATTTCCCAAACTGGGGGTCTAGACCCATAGGGAAGCGCTCAACAAATTTTAGGAGTCGCATATACTATTACAATTTTACATAATGTACTAAATCAATTTAATTTTTTAGACTTTCAATTTAAAGCACAATTAATAAAACTAGTGCAAAATGTAAATCTTACAATTTCGAGATAATACATAGGATTAAAAAAGCCGTAACACAGGAGAAGCTTGTATAACATTGCCATTTAACAGGGGATGTGGAAAATTTTAATATATTGGAGGGGTCGCGACATTAAAGATTTTGATTAGGAGAGGAAAGTACGAGCGATAATCATGGGGTAATCCATTTTTCAAACTGGGCACTCATCTCCTCCTAAGAGGTTACGAAGCACATCCCAGGGGGCCATGACAAAAGCATTCAATGACTGGCATGCAGGATGCTCTTACAAAGTTTGTGGCATAGACTGTGGTTTGGTTAATTCTCTCACCATAACAGATCTTGCAAATTTAAAAATCCCTCATATTACTCTGATCCTATAAAGCGAAATCTAAAACTTACACCGAGTCTCCTCCATACTCAATGAAGGCACATTTTATTGAGCTGTCATTTGCATATGTGTGATTAGCCTGATTCCATAGCTGTAAAAAAAAATGAAAGAATGTAAATCAATGGATTTGCCTGACACTGACAGTATGAACTTTAATTGCTCACAATACAGTGCCATGCACTACTGAATACACAGATACCAAACAGCACGCAAGCAGTCACATATGACCACCTCACAACACTCTGTCAACACAATAACAAAGTTGTGGCCAAATGGTATCTATTTGAAAAACCCTAGTTAGCCTCACTAACAATGATGAATTCATTTTAAATTCTATGTTATATATGATTTTTGACAGCTCTGAAATGCAAATAAGCCCAACTTTTGATGCTTCATACTTTAATTGTCAATTGAGCCTTTTCTATCTGTTATATCTTTCGAATAGCAATTTCTTGATCTTGCTTTGAGCAATTTACATAAAAAGCCATTCTCTGAAGATTGCATAATATGATAAATGTTTTAGGAATATGCTCATAGGTAAATCGAGGGGTTGCTATTTCTAAGAGCACAATGTACTGGGCTAGGAATAAGAGTGAGAATATGAATCATGCTCTTCAAATTTTCTTGATATTAGGTGCAATCTGAACTTATTAGTAAAGAATGAAATTTTTGAATGGAACTTGACAAAAACATTGATATTATTCTTGTAGGCAAACTTTTAGGGTTGCTATAATCTTGTCAACCTGTAGTGAGGGATGTTTTTTGTTCCTTAGAGGAATATAATAGTTTTATATAATAGTTGAATATAATTTTTTCTTAGACCAATTGCTTTGTCACAAGCTTCTCACTAACTATTTAAAACATCATCATCAACTCCTTTAAGGCAATAGTTCAGTAAAAACTTGTCCATAAATTTACCGTAACATTGCAATTTGTGTTGTTTAGAGGAGTAGCCTCAGCTGCCACCCTTGTTTCATTTGAGTCAATCACCCTATACACTGGATCACCAGATGATGCCAGGAACAAAGCAGTCGCAGCCCAGAAGGAAACAACAATCACAGCTAGGACAAAGGTCACTAGAGGGTAGAAGAGAGTTGATATCATCATGCCAACAGCTCTGAATAATAGAAAACAAAATTGAAGCATCAGAAATTAGAGAAAAAGTACTGTGGGATATCAAATTTTTAAAAATTTGGTCGTATTACTAGTAATTAAAATACTGATATGTATTAATTAAAACACATTGTTGGCTAGGACTTATCAATTTGCAGTAAAATTTCGAGTTCATATTTATGAAATTAGAAATGGGCATTTTTCTTTTGTAATTCTTTGAGAAAACTTTTTGTGACAGATTCCAAACTTAGTAATTTATAAAGTCAAATACATGTTTTCAATTAAAACTTAGTAAGCCAGCTCCCGATCTCAATTTTAGTGTAATATTCATCCTCTAGTTAGGTTATTTTGTCTTTGTTCATTGAGATAATGGGATATTATTTAACCTTGTTATGAGCCTCTGTTTAATGTTTTATCGCTGTTCACGTGTTTCAGTGGTAATTATAATTATAAATACAAATTATTAGGCTAAAACAGTCGCAATTTGGTCACTGTCCAAATCAAGTGTTCTGTTGCTTTGTGATGGAACTTTTGTTTGTATTAACATTTCTCTATGCAGACAACATAAATTACATAATGCCATTACATAGGCAAATATTTATACTTATATATATCGAATACCCATGCTGTACTTCAAACAGATATAAAATCACAATCTGAGCTCAAAAATACTAAACTTACTTGCTGGCAGACTTGATAATCTGTATAGCAATGAGAATTCTCTTCCTCAAAAAGATCACAAGGAGAAGGAAGACTCCTCCAAGGATGCAGAGAATGATGACTGAAAAAATAGAAATCAAATTGAGGTAGATATTTATAGGTGTCTGAAAAAAGATCTGTATAAAAAGCCAAACTTTAGAATTATTTAGAGTTATTCTTGTTCGACATTGCAGAGTGATTTCCATTTTTATACTTCTATTCACTTCCATTTTTATATTAAAGTAAATACCCCTTCTGAGTAAAACAAAATCTAGAATTTACTCGAAGAAAGCTAATTTACTCACAGAAAGCTAACCAAGTGTCCTGTAGAGCAAGATATTGATTGAGGTCACTTGTGAAACCAATAGCTATAACAGAACGATCCGCTCCATCAACATTTAACAAACGCTGAAAAGTAAATTTGTGTAAATTTTTGAAATAAGTTAGCAAATAAACCACCAGAACGCCACTTAAATGGCCTGTCCTGTGAAGAGCTGCTGTTCTGCTATAATGGACAAGTATTATTTTATGAGTTGCAAATGATGTGTATCACCATTCAAGCATAAATTATATCTAAGATAGATGTTATTGGTATTCAGGTGACTCTATACCAGGGCCACACAACTGGCGGACCGCGGTCCGAATCCGGACCTTTCAGGTATACGATTCGGACCGCACCTAATTCTATATTTTGAATCATTAGCCCCACTTTTAGAAGTTTCCTTTTATAAAATCACTTTTTGAGATTTGGATATATACGAAAAGAAATATAACGCCATAATAAACAATCTTGATTAGCTAATAATCATTAGTCGGCCAAGGAAGTGCGTGTTTAAGGATGCCATTATTTTTAAAATTTTGTATGCGAAGCTCGGTAAAAATAGTTGAGTAGACATGCTCTATACTACGGTGATTCCCAATCTTTTATTAACCGTGGTGCCCTTCAGGGCGCTTTTAGCACTCATCCCTCCATGAGTTTAAAAGTAATAAGGCTTTATTTTGCTTCATTAAAATTTATTTATATCATAAAATACCGATTTCACCTACCTGCCATTCAGTATAGCAATAATAGATTCCAAATCCAAATACTCCAAGTAAAGCAATGATAGTTATCCATATCATGGGGCCTGCAACCCATCTCATTATCACAATCCATAGAAATGATACAACAGCAGCGACACCGAGGCCCCTGTAAAAAAATTAAACCCAGTTTAGAGATAATGAAATAAACATATTGACTGTCAAGTCAGGTAACGTTCATTTTTTCCAACCAGAAAAAAAAAAACTCATGCAAAAAATTGGAAAAAAATGCTATTTACAATACTTGATAAGAGAAGCCGTGGGGAAACAAAATTGGTTATCAAGCAAAGACACCCATGGTTCTAACATCTAATTCAACAGGTTGGGAAAATTCACTTCAAAATTACTGTTATTGATGGTAAATATCATATACACAGCCTGTCACTACGTTTATTATGATATAATGCCAATCCTAGAACTTCAGTTTCATGGAATTTGCTACCACAAGTTTGCTTTACTGATCATGTTTATCTTCGATTCCATTTGGCATTTGCTGGCATGCAATGCATTGCCACAAATCCATAAAGTTTTAGCAGATCTTGTCATTTCAGTAGTCATTCATAACATTGCTCAGAGATGAGTCTTTTTGAGAGTGGATGCGTATGTATGGTGAATTCTCAATATCAAGCTAGGTACTCAGAAAACCTTATTCTGAATCTCTTTATAGCAATAATAATAGAATCATTTTGATAATAACAGACTATAGAATGTACAATGTTTGAGATGAAGAAAAAAGAACTGAAGTTTTAATACTTACGCTAGCACCCAGTACCATGCTACTGTAAAATCAGCAAATATTTTCATCCCCACTTCTTGAGCATTCAGATACGCTTGAACGATCAAGCTTCCATTATTCAAAGCATCTCCTGTGACTGTGTTGTTCAGAGCGTCCTTGGCAGAAAAAAATTCCAATTTAGGTGATTTATTATAGAAAAAAAATTCTACTAGCTCAGATTCAAATCCTGTGTGACTCACATCCTCTCACATGCTGGCTATGCAATGATTAACAAGAAAGATTCCATCCTTTCCAGACCATAATAGCCCATAACATATCGTTCGATCTTATTGGCTGCCTGTACATATCATTTTTAGGGCAAGATGCCTAAATGAGAGTCATAAAAAATCCAAGAAAATGTATTTAGTCACTCAGTTACTGCATGAGCAAAATCTATCCCCGTAACCCTCTAGTGTCGTGTAACTGCATTAATAAATATGTTCAAATTTTCTCACCACAACTACAGTGCTTTCACCAGAAACAGTCTTTGAAGTGAAGGATGCGGCGTCTTTAAGAACTGTAGGAATGCATCTCCCAACCAATGGGGTCATAGGAATGTAATATGGAGCACATTTCCCTTCTTGTATGATATCGATAAGATCTTGAAAGCCATTAGACTGAAATGAAAATAATTACTGTAAGTCTCTTATTACTTATCGATTTTAATCGGTAAGTACTTTGATAGGTATTTGTCTGTCTGTCTGTATGTTTGTCTGTTAGATGCACGCCACATCTCAAGAAAGCGAGATTGAATCTGCTCCAGATTTTGCATGTGCATTCATCATATGTCGGACCATTAGCCTATTGATTTTGGATGAATTATGTCGTTTGATTAGCGAGATATTATTTAATTAGTGATGGGACACAAGGTGTCACTAAGGAGTAAAAGCACTGTCTTGGGGAATCCCCTAACTTTCGATCAATAAGTCTTCGGTCTCTGACCGATATTCTCGTTTTCAAATTTGCAAGGTTTTAGTAACTTACGGTAATCAAAGATTGAAAGAGTACTGATAGAGAAGCTGAAATCCACCACTGATGAGATAAATGTTATATCGAATTATACCCTCATTTAACAGAAATCAGTAGACACTGCAGTCCATCACAATTTTTTCTATTTTTTTTTTATTTTTACAACATTTTTTTCTATGCTTCTGCATGGCAAAAGAAAAACAATTACCGTATTAACGCCATAAACAATATTATTATAAATCACAAGAATATAACAGGTTTTGAATTTTACTGTTTGAAATAGCAGCTTGGAAAATAGCAGCATGGTTCAAAAACCATACCATTCTTCTAAAATAAATGTGAAAATCGTATGCAATCTTAACAATACCCACCCTGCTCTCGAATTCTGTTCTGACATCATATCCATATGTGCAGAAGTATTTCGACCAATCCACACCCAGATTACTGACGGCAAAGTTAGAGATTTGTAGGTTAGTGGGAGAAGTCACACCGGTGGCTATAACTCCTGCCAGTGCTGCTGTAAGCTGTGGAACATCTTGATAATAAGTCCATGTCGAGTTGGGACAGGAGTTCACACAGATCTGAAATATTAGTTAGATAGATTTTGAAGTCTGAATAACCATTAAATAAAGGTACAAAAGCTTTGATAGAGGAGTCGCAAGCTACCACTAATAAGCCAGAAACTATACACATATAATTTGTCTATACTGATTGGTAAATACAATTCTTGGATAAATTCACTCGAGACAAGATTGCACTGAAAAGGAAAAAGCACTAAATAGTGATGTTCTAATGGTAAAATGACTGCTTGTCAAAGGCATTGTTCACAGCAAAAGTCTGGAACACCAAAACAACCTGAATCATTTCAGTTTTGTAAAAAAGCCTACCCATTTTATTACACTCTAAATTAGGTGCTGTCATACCTGTGTTGTTGCACATTGAAATTTCAGCAAACTGGCAGGACTTGCGCATTTTGTCAGGTCAAAGAAGAATACATTGGTCTTGTTCCTAGAATTTTGAGAATAAATATCATAAATTTATGATTTATTTGGATTTATTGGATCAACGACTGATTTAAATTGATGCTTCAAGACTGATATTTTTATAAAAAATTTGCTCAAAGCAAGGTCACGCCAACTCACCCAGAAACATGAAAATTGGAACAAATACTTTAGTTGGAAAGCAACATATACAAGACTTTTTTCGTATACCTAACTCTGAATTGATTTTGTGGCAAAATCGCATAAACATGAATGCTGAACATGGCACCTGAGGCAAATTTTTTCAGACCAACTGTTCGTTTTCAGAATGATTCAATATGCAATGTTTTAACAAAACAGTATAAATTCAGTGCAGAATAAAAATGATTCTTGAATGTGGGTTAAACAAACTCATGGTTCAGATAATTTAATTGAAATTAAACGCTTCAACATGTCATTACTTTTACACACTGAGGCAATACAATAATGCTGAAAATTGACTAAAAATATGCAATAAATAATCAAAACTTTTAGTAAAAAGGGAATGTTAAACTGAAAACTTACGATAAATCTAGATCTCCATATTTCACACCACAAATTCTACCATTATTGTCTGTTGGATACAATAAAATGATCGGATCCCCATTCAGCCAAGCTGGTAAAATGAAACATTAAAAGTTAAAACATGGTAAAGTTGGCATAGGATGTTTTCAAGCGAAACAAACAATCAATAAACAGGTAGGTGTGTAAAAAGCTGCCCAGTCCAAAAAAGAATGACAAATAATAATATTTTCTGTTAAGCTTTGCCTGGATAATTTGGACAAATGGTAAAACGACTTAATTTGTAAAAAGACATAAAAAAAAATTATAAGTAATTATAAAACAATCTAATTTCAGCACAATAACAAAAAATTTAAATTGATGTAAATAGGCAATGAAGGCCAATGATTCAATAATCGATGAGAGTAAATGAAGTTGCGGAGTCCATTTCAAATATATCGAAAAATGTTTGCCTGTCCATATATCTATTTATTTTTTAAATGTGTGTGCATTTTATCTTTTGTTGTGCACTCTTTTAGTAATGAAAAATTCGCAAAAGTTTCATTAAACTCAGAAAATTCGAGATATGGGACTAATCAGAAAAAAACGGTGGTCGGGCTACTGAGAGTTTGCTGCATTGTCTAAACTAATTGAGCCAGTCAGCAAAACAGCTTTGCTGTATACTTTAAGTTACAGGTAATATATTACCACAAGTTCACTCACCGAATATTCCGACAACAATGAATCCGAGGATAAAGATAAAGAAAATCAAACAACACAAGATGTCAGTGCAGGACCGTTTATGAATTGGGCCATCGAAGGACGGATCGTGAGTTTTCGCCTTTCCTGTTGAACACAAATTTTTGAGTTAAACGATAACATGTTTATCGGCAAGTTTTTATGAAACTGCAATTTCATGAAAAATGTCAGTTATCAGATTATATCTTGAGCCCTTTCCAACAAAAGGATAGTTGAAAAATGTCTGAAAGTCTCATACTAAAGGGCAGTTGCTGTTACTGCCAATACGTACTATTTCGTGAAATTTATTCTCGTAAAATGAAAAAATTTGAAAAACTTGTTATGTGAAAATAAGGAAAACATATATTTTTGATTTTGAAACCCTTGTCACTTTTTAGTGAAAATACTTTGTTCAGAAAAATATTTTTCTCAAAACAATTTTTTCATGTTTTTTGGAGGTTAATAAAGCATCAAACTCTCAAGTCTGATAGTTTCTGACCAAACTTGCACATTAAAAGCAATCCTTTCTTACCTTCTCCTTCATCTCCCCCACAACATCCCATTATGATATCATAGAATATGCAAATGATTAATATTTAAAATAGAACTTGACAGCTAAATTAAAGAGTAAGAAGGAAATGCTGTTTTGTTTCATGGATTGAAAAAGCAAAAAAAGAGTGATCTCATTACACGAATGGTTGAAATCAAATATTTTAAAACCTACTACAGGGCTACTCAACTAGAAGATCGCAATCCGATACAGGCCTTTCGGGTACTCAATTGTAAAACGATGAATTTGAAATTTTGATTTTGTTTGTTACAGGTGCTATGTGGGCGAATATTTCACATCTTTTCAGCAAAGTCGGAGCTCAGCTACACAACTGAAACATCGACGCGCAATATTGAGCATTGCTCCTGTATTTTGTCAAGCATTGCATTTGAAATTTGATGGCATAGTTAAAGTATATTTTTTTGGAATGGCGCCGGTAATTTTCAAATTTTTTGTACGAACCTTCGATGAACATAGATGAGTAGCCCTGGCCTACTATTCCAAATATATTCTGAAATAATATTTCGAAATATTGGATTTAAAGTCAGAATAAAAAGTGAAAATTGTGTAGATTATAATATATTCATTAAAGGACTGAATTTGGCGATGCAAACAACTTAAGATTGAACTTGTTTCAATGGTTTCCTATTTTCTACAGCTTCTAGATATTGCATGACACTATTTCTTGATTGACTACTAAATGTCAACTGCTCAGAATGACAACTCTTCAAAATTAAAATCTGAATTACATCTGAAATCAAGAATCTAATACATCGATATAACCAATTTTAAATGTATTCAAATATCTATTCGTTCTGTTCAACTAAACCCCTCCACATTCAAAACCCTAAATCCAAAACAAATTCAAAACACACAAAATTACTTTTATATACCATGAACAAAGCTATTCATGTGTATTCAAGCAAAAAAATAACTACGCAAAAGGTATTGACTACCGTTCTCTGTTTATATAATGAGTTGTGAGTTTGTGAAAAGGAAATGGATACCACCTACTTTTAAAATTTGCATATGAATGATCTGTAATTTATTTTCTCAACATGCTGAAAATACGACGTATACAACATACACAAATTGAATAAAAAATAAAAAATCGCACTTCAGGGTGAAAGGAGACGCCGAAAACCAATACTGGTTATCGAGCGACGGTACCCTTAACTCAAATATAAGGTTCAGTTTGAACAACAATTTCAGGTTAAAACTGGAGATAGAGAGGAACAGATATACCATATGGTGGATCAAGGCCTTTTGTCCAATTACCAGTTCATGCCAGATATGGAATAATGAATACCTTATTCCCATAGTAATTCACATGGACTTAATGCTGAAGGAAGTCAAACTTTGATATCTGAGCAAAAATGAACTGCCGTAAGATCAACAAAGATATATGCTTTCAATTTTAATTTTGTAATCACATGTACCATTGTGATCAGTGATGGGTAACGAAGCATAGTTGAACAAAACATGCTATTTTAAGCACTTGTTCACATGCTTATGACTCAAATTATGTAGGTCATAATATAGTAATAACTATATTGAATCTGACTAAAACAGTGCTTTTCAAACTTTCAAGCCTTGTCGAGTCTCGCGCCCCACCCCAAAAATAATAAGCTAACAATAAGATCCAAAACTGGCGAAAATATATTTTATTCAAGAAACTTGTTGAAAATAAGTGGATGGAAACTAAATATGCAAAATAAATAAATCTATTTCTAAAGCAAGGCGAGCAAGATCAAATCTAACAAATATTTTTATTTTTGATTACCTCAAAAAAATTGTCTGAGCCCCATTGTGAGGCGTGACCAGTGGTGGAATTCAGTCGGTTTGCACCGGTTCTATAATACTGTCTGACAGAATTTTATGAGATCAGCGAACTGGTTAGCGTTACTGGTTACTGTCAATGTTCTGTTTGTAATAGAACCGGTAAAAGAATATGACTTTTGTGATGGAACCGGCTAACAAAAAATTCTAATCCCACCACTGGGCGTGACCCACTGTTTGAAAACCACTCAACTAGAATGAAAAATTAGTTACATAACTAATTCGCATTCATGCACCAAGAGCTTTTTAGTGAATAAATACAAATATCCTCCAGTTAATCAAGTAAAATGTTGTTTTAACCACTCGTTCACATGTTTATGACTCAAAAAACGTCATAATAACGGCGGAGCTAATTACACAGAACTAAACTCAACAATTCAAATAAATAATGCACATAGTATATTTATTCGCTTTATCAGTTTTCTGTATAGTTGATTTTGTGATAAGTAACTGCCTAAAACAGAACTAAATATATATACAATGAAGTAAACCCTAGCATGCATTAATAATTTAAAATATTAGGTACTCCCGTAGTATGTGTACCTGTTTAGGTTTAGACCATAATTTTATTCTGATTTTCCTTATTTTAGTTTTATTACAAGTCAGGGGACTGTCTGTGTTAGCAAAGTGAATATACCCCCTGGCCATGGGTTTTAGTTTCTTTTACACAACTTGTAGGCAAACTAAATCAGTTAACTCCATATTGGTACACACACTTCTGGAGCGCCAAAAATTGCCTTGCCTTGCCTTCTTCAGAGAGAAAGTGTAAAACTACTTTAAAATGGAGGTGAGGTATTGTACCAGCTTAAATTAAAATCACATATTTCTGGAGCATCATAAACCAACAAGTCCCAGTTTATAAAAGGAAGTAGCACCTCTAAAGTGGTGAACGTACTAAAATTACAATAGAAAACGCCGCGTCATCAAGGGTCATTTTTGTATTGGATTCACCACTTGCCAGAATGAGATAATGGGATATAGTGTGCGAGTGACGTAAATGATATTCTTGAAGTTTGAAGAGAGAAAAGGTTAAAAATTCAAGTCTTTGATGGATATTTATGGTTCATATTTTAGTTGTTTGTTATTTTTTACAGTTTAGAAATACAAATTGTACAGGTATCATGTTCTGATTCCTATTTACAATATTAACAGTTATTTTAAATAAACTTGGAGTGAATAAAAATAGTGATGTCCCTATTACAGCCAATTCACGTCAGCGAATTTTCTATAAATTTAAAAAAAACATGAATTGTTTAGTTATTAATTGACATCATGAATTCAAGGTGATAAAGTAATTTCAATCTTCATATGGTTAACAAATACGATTGAAACACATAAAATACACTGAACTATTTATTAATAATTAGTTCGAATGATTATTATAAATTTAAATTTTGTTTCAAATATTTCAATACAAGACTATTCAATTTTTATATCCTTCCCTCTGTGTTTTCCATCCTGACTCATCATAAGAACCGAGCAGAATTCATGTATAGGAAATCCTATGGTTCCAGAGAGATAATAATCATGAATCTCAAACATACACTGCGCAATTGTGGCCTTCAAATATACTTTATATTTATTGTAATACATTTACCAATGCTGCTTCATGACCAAGGGAGTTGTTGAATTGAATAAATTTTGTATAATAACAGGACAATTTACAATAATTATGACATCACACTCACAATGACGGTGGAATTGTCATAACACAGCAACCATTCTCAACAGTTACAAAACAATTTCTAGAATCAACAAACTTTATTATTTTATCACAAAGGGGGAGAGAGAAACTAAAGTGCGTCATAATAAAAGTAAATGTTCGAATGAAAGTAATAAAAACTGTACTTGAATAGGTTTCCATGAAAAACTAGAAGTATCTTACTTGTCAATCTTACTAATGTTAAATATTGACAGAATATATATACAGCTAGTTCAGTCAAGAATTCGAATTATTACACAATTCATTTAATGAACAGCATTTATGTGTTAATTAATTGAGATTCAATTGACCAATACTGATTACAAATGCTGTATTAACTTTGATAAAGCATCCTCTAGTACTTGGCGCTATATTTGGTCGTATTATCCAAACATATATGCTTTGTTCGTGCATCTGAAACGGTAATCACGTAGCGTGCGTACCAGGTTAGGGCTAGGCCATAATTTTATTACAATTTTCCCTATTTTAGTTCTATTACGAGTTCTGGGACTGTTTGTGTTAATGAAGTGAATATACCCCCTGCCCATAGATTTCAGTTCCTTTTCACAACTTGATGTAAAGTAGGCGAACAAAATTAGTCACCTCCATATTGATACACATACTTCTGAAAATCCTCTGAAACTATTGACAGGTCAACTATCCCAATATCTCAACTTAAGGCATGGTTTGCCATACATGGTTAAGCCTTTATAATTATCTGTCTTATAAGCACAAAAATCCATGATCATATATCGCTAATTCACCAGCAAAATTAATTCTGACATTTGGCAGAATGACAAACAAGTGTAACAATACAACAGATTTAACCTAAATCGCTGAATGAAATGCCAATCGTAACTGAATTTGGAGACATTAAATCTATTTTAACTATATCAAAACATAAAGGTCACATAAGTGACTAGTCTGAAGGTCATTTATCTAATTATGAAGGTCATATCAAAAAACTCTATTAGTATTGTAACAATCAAATCCATCTCATATCCACCCACTACAAAC